TAAAAAAAAAGAAATATAAGTTTTAAAAAAAAAAAGCAAGAAAACAGCAGGTGGTAAGTTGTACCTGTTTCTCACCCCTCCCTTCTCCGCTCTCGCAGGGGGGTCTGTCGGTGGACTCCATCTCCGACCTGGTGGAGAGTCAGTCCCGCCTGCTGGAGGCGCTGCAGCTCTCCCACCCGGCCGAGCTGGAGCTGAAAAGGCGGCGGGCGGCGGCTCGTCGAGGGGAGGACCAGAACAAGCTCAGCCTCAACCCCATCTACAGAACAGGTGCCCGCGTGCTGGAGAGGTGCTGCAGTCACATCGAGACCCACGGTGAGACAGGGGGGGTTTGCTTTTCTCTCGTGCACAAAATAACAAACCCTCAAACACGATTAATAGCTACTGCTGCTGGTTGTCCAGTGTAAATGTACATTAATTAACAAAACTTTAATGAAGCCGTGATTGATGCATTTCGTTTCCACAGGTCTGCGACTGTTGGGATATTTGTTAGTGGGAGCTCGAAGAAGAGAGAGCAGGTGAGGACAACACACACACACACACACACACACACACACACACACACACACACACACACACACACACACACACACACACACACACATCACACACACACACACTCACACTCTATAGTTTCAGGTGAGTGGCCGCATCATTTCCATCAGGTGTGAAGTTCACAGCTCAACATGAAAAATATACAAAGGTGAACACTAACCTGTGTGTGTCTTGAAGACAGGACAAAATGTTACTTATTATTATTATTATTTATTATTTATATATATTATATATAAAAAAAAATCAGTAAAAGCTGCTGTGACACTTGTAAGATTTGGAAAACTCACCCCTCCATCTCCGTGTCTCTGGGTGTCTGCGGTTGAAGATGATGTCGAACGTGTGCGGATAAGTGTGCAGCAGCATCATTCAGTTCAGTTCCTGTCCTGACATTTTGATTCACTGTCCGTGTATTCCTGTCGCGCTCGTCACGGATCACTCGGCAGAATATAAAAATATTCTTGATGCACTGATATGTGATATCCTGTTTGAGAATTCTTGTCCACCGGGGAGAAAGTGGTCTTGTATTTGACCTCCTCGGCTGGTTTTTGTGCGTGTGTGTTGTGTTGGTGTGCTTGGAGTGTGTTCCTCAGCTGCGGAGGACTTCTTGACGTGACCGTGGGGTGGACGTCCAGCTGGACGAGGAGCACAGCGTCCATGAGTTCGCAGCGTTTGCTCAAAGAGTTTGACATCCCTGACCCTGCCGCAGAGAAGCTCCTACCCGCGCTCTCCTGCACGCCATATCGTGAGCGCTCATCACACACACACACACACACGACACACACCATTGGTAGATCAATTGATTATATTATCTATCTCCTCCTCCGGGCCTCTCTCAGGTGCTGAGAGAGGCCACCAGCTCAGTACCTGAAGTAGCACCCCTCCTCTACCTGCTCCCTCCCTGTAACTGTGACACCTGCTCGGCCTCCTCACCTTGTTGCACACCGTGCAAGACTTCGCCCAGGACAGCATAGAAACCAAACGCACGAGGAGGTACGAACACAGCTGATCCTTTTATAAGGGCAGTTTACTCATCATTGATTAATGTCTGAGGAAATAACCCTGTGACTTTATATATATAATCAGTTCCATTCTTTATTTAATCTGTCCATTAAAGGATTACATATTAAACTGGTGGAAACGCCCCTTTAAAGGACCATACTGATTGATTTGCATGTTTAATGACGTCTCCAAGAAAGATAACAACATCCAAGATTTGAGAGTCTGGAAAGAAATCTTAATATTCAACACAGCTACGTTGCTGGGAAATTTAAAACACGTGTATTTTGTTTTCTTGCTCTTTTCTTGCCACTAAAAGTTTTGATGTTCGTGACGTTCAGAATCTAAAAGAACATGTTGTGCTTTTGAAAATGATAGAAACGTCCTCTGTAGTACTTTAACTAGACAACCTTTGCAAATTAAACTACATCTCACATCCGTCCATCCAACACTTCTCCTCTCGCCTTTCTGTCCTTCCTCACCTCCTCCTCCTCTTCACTCCTCCTCCTCCTCCTCCTCCCCTCCAGATCCCTGGCAACAAGATGACAGGCTGCCTAACCTGGCGGTGATCTTCGGCGCCGAACCTGCTGCAGAGGGAGAGAGGAGGAGACGTGAGTCTGGCAGGGCGATGGGGATCGAGGACAGCACCGGCCATCATCAGCGTCACTCTGGTGCTGATCCAGAACTACAGGAGGCTCTTCACGCGTTACCACGACTCAAAAACCACGACTCAAACCACGACTCACACCACGACTCACACCACGACTCTCACACCACGCGACTCAACACCACGACTCACACCACGACTTCAAACCACGACCCAGAAGAAACAAAAAATTATTATTATATAAACTTAATGTGTTGTATGTATCTTGTGTGTGTTTCTACCAAGGTTACTGCAGAGGTGCCAGCAGGAGGTTCCTGATGAGTCTGATTTGACCGACCCCGACATGACTATCATCCCGCTACGACGTACCTACATCAATCGACATCCCTCACAGAACTGCAGTCCTGACAACTGTTCAATACACCCGTCTTAAGGCATCAAATGTTCTCTCCTGTGGCTAATTGCGGTTCCCGTCTCCCGTCTAAGCAGCAGCAATCTTATTTTTTAAACTCAACCTTCACATCATACAACTTTTAACTTTTCATATCTGTTCTGAATATTATGAGATCATTTTCCTCATTAATAGATTTCCTGATACATTAACCTGAGGAGCAGATTATCCATAAAACACCACTCAACACCGTATGACTGGAGAAGAAATACAATTAAAAATAATCGCAAAATTTAAAAAAAAAGAAATATAAGTTTAAAAAAAAGCAAAGAAACAGCAGGTGGTAAGTTGTACCTGTGTCTCACCCCCTCCCTCTCCGCTCTCGCAGGGGGGTCTGTCGGTGGACTCCATCTCCGACCTGGTGGAGAGTCAGTCCCGCCTGCTGGAGGCGCTGCAGCTCTCCCACCCGGCCGAGCTGGAGCTGAAGAAGGCGGCGGGCGGCGGCTCGTCGGAGGGGAGGACCCAGAACAAGCTCAGCCTCAACCCCATCTACAGACAGGTGCCCCGCGTGCTGGAGAGGTGCTGCAGTCACATCGAGACCCACGGTGAGACAGGGGGGGGTTTGCTTTTCTCTCGTGCACAAATGTAACAAACCCTCAAAACGATTAATAGCTACTGCTGCTGGTTGTCCATGTAAATGTACATTAATTAACAAAACTTTAATGAAGCCGTGATTGATGCATTTCGTCTCCACAGGTCTGCAGACTGTGGGGATTTTCCGAGTGGGAAGCTCGAAGAAGAGAGTGAGACAGGTGAGGACACACACACACACACGCACACACACACACACGCACACACACACACACGCACACACACACACACGCACACACACACACACGCACACACACACACACGCACACACACACACACACACACACACACTCACACTCTATAGTTTCAGGTGAGTGGCCGCATCATTTCCATCAGGGTGAAGTTCACAGGCTCAACATGAAAATATCAAAGGTGAACACTAACCTGTGTGTGTCTTGAAGACAGGGACAAATGTTACTTATTATTATTATTATTATTATATTATATATAAAATAAACATCAGTAAAAGCTGCTGTGACACTTGTAAGATTTGGAAAACTCACCCCTCCATCTCCGTGTCTCTGGGTGTCTGGGTTGAAGATGATGAAGTGCGGAGGTGTCGGTGCAGCAGCATCATCAGTTCAGTTCCTGTCCTGACATTTGATTCACTGTCCGTGTTTCCTGTCGCGCCTCGTCACGGATCACTGGCAGATAAAAAATATTCTGATGATGTGTGATATCCTGTTTTTGAGAAATCTTGTCCACCGGGGAGAAGTGGTCTTTATTTGACCTCCTCGTGTGTGTGTGTGTGTGTGTGTGTGTGTTCCTCAGCTGCGGGAGGACTTCGACGTGGGGGTGGACGTCCAGCTGGACGAGGAGCACAGCGTCCATGACGTCGCAGCGTTGCTCAAAGAGTTTCTGAGGGACATCCCTGATCCTCTGCTGCCCAGAGAGCTCTACCCCGCCTTCCTGCACGCCAATCGTACGTCTCACACACACACACACACACGCACACACACCCATTGGTTGATGAATTGATTGATATTACTCATCTCCTCCTCCGGGCCTCCTGCAGTGCTGAGAGGAGCAGACCAGCTCCAGTACCTGCAGCACCTCCTCTACCTGCTCCCTCCCTGTAACTGTGACACCCTGCTGCGCCTCCTCACCTTGTTGCACACCGTGCAGAGCTTCGCCCAGGACAGCATAGGAACCAACGACGAGGAGGTACGACACAGCTGATCCGTTTTTAAAGGGGCAGTTTACTCATCATTGATTAATGTCTGAGGAAATAACCCTGATGACTTTATATATATATCCAGTTCCATTCTTTATTTAGTCTGTCCATTAAAGGATTACATATTAAACTGGTGAAACGCCCCTTTAAAGGACCATACTGATTGATTTGCATGTTTAACGACGTCTCCAAGAAAGATACAACATCCAAGATTTGAGAGTCTGGAAAGAAATCTTAATATTCAACACAGCTACGTTGCTGGGAAATTTAAAACACGTGTATTTTGTTTTCTTGCTTTTTCTTCCCACTAAAAGTTTGATGTTCGTGACGTTCAGAATCTAAAAGAACATGTTGTGCTTTTGAAAATGATAGAAAACGTCCTCTGTAGTACTTTAACTAGACAACCTTTGCAATTAAACTACATCTCACATCCTTCCATCCAAACTTCTCCTCTTGCCTTTCTGTCCTTCCTCACCTCCTCCTCCTCTTCACTCCTCCTCCTCCTCCTCCCTCCCCCTCCAGATCCCTGGCAACAAGATGACGGCTGCTAACCTGGCGGTGATCTTCGGGCCGAACCTGCTGCAGAGGGAGAGAGGAGGAGACGTGAGTCTGCAGGCGATGGGGATCGAGGACAGCACGGCCATCATCAGCGTCACTCTGGTGCTGATCCAGAACTACAGGAGGCTCTTCACGGTACCACGACTCAAACCACGACTCAAACCACGACTCACACCACGACTCACACCACGACTCACACCACGACTCAAACCACGACTCACACCACGACTCAAACCACGACCCAGAAGAAAAAAAATTATTATTATAATAAACTTAATGTGTGTGTGTGTGTTTCTCCAGGTTACTGCAGAGGTGCAGCAGGAGGTCCTGATGAGTCTGATCCAGACCGACCCTGACATCATCGACTATCTCCTGCGTAGGAAACTGAGGTAACCGTGACAACCGGCCTGTCAATACACCCCCGTAAGCATCAAATGTTCTCTCCTGTGGCTAATTGCGGTTCCCGTCTCCCCTCAGCAGCAGCAATCTGACGGTGGAGAGCAGCAGTGAGTCCGGGGGTCGCCGGGACACGGGGGCGTCCCTGGACTCCGTGGGGGCCTCCAGCGGCAGCCTGTCCCCACTGGAGCCCCCGTCACCTCTGTTCCCGCCCGACGGTAGCGGCGGCGAGGGCAGCCTGACCAGCGAGGTGTTCCTCAACGTGCTGAAGCTGAACCAGAACAGGAAGCGGCAGGAGACCAGATACGGTATACTCGACCTGTTGGTGTAACTGTGTGTCACATGATCTGGGCGGCAGCAGTGTCAGGCTAATTAACGTGACAGTGCAGCTGATGAGCTTGTTGAAGGTCATTTAGCATTTTATGACTGAGGCATGAAACTTTCTCCAGTGTTTCTATAAACCAGGAAGTTTATTCTCAGACGTGACCTCTGGGACGGGGCGGAGCCGCCTGGGGCAACGAGTGTGGTCCTGACCAAACTAGGATGCTAGCTTCTGATTAGCATGTTGGCTAGTCAAAGCGAAAAATGCAATGCTGAGGTCAGTGACCTCTCGAGGTCACCAGAGGTCAGACACAAATTGCCTCCACGTCTGAAATAAAACCTTGGGGTGTGTAGATTATATGCTGAAACGTTCATGCTTTAGTCATAAAATGCACACATGGTTTGTCCATCTGCCCCACTGTGATGCAGAGGGTAAATTTAAACAACAGACCTGTTTTTACTCTTTAAATCCTGAGACGGTGAGAGTGAGATCTGCTGGATGACATCACAGAGCAGAGGAGGAGAATCCAGAGCTGGTTGGATGAGGGAAAGTTGATTGGGAAAAACTGCTTTTATGTTCAGAGAAGCAAAAACAAAAAAGATGATGAGGGACAGGGAGCAGTAACGTTCATGCAACAGTCTGATGTACACTGACTTTATTTTGGGGAACCACCGACTCCAACAATGAGACAGGAAGTAACTACAGCTTGGAGTATCTTTTGAAATGGCATTTATATATTTGTGTTAAATAGAAATTGAATTCCATGTGTCTGAAAACTGAAGTGCGTCGACATTTGGGATGATAAATGTTCCAACAGCACCATCTAGCTGTGACAGATATAAAGACGTCGCTCTATATTGAGTGCTGATTTTAACAAAACAAAAAGCTTAGTTGCACAATAGTAATGCACGTGGTTCTGTGAACTGCTTTACTCCTGAGGGGCCTCGTGATTGTTTTCTAAACTTTCCTCACTGTGTGAAATCATAATATTGTTCAAGCATAGAAGAAGTTTTCATCGAGGAAACTAGTGCTTTTATTTTCCAAAGGAAAGGTCTGTTTCCTCTGCCCCCCCCCCCCCTCACGGGAAGGTTCAGGATCAGTGTTGGAGCTCTGCAGATGTTTAGTGGTTTGCTCAGCGGCACTTAAGCAAGGTGAAAACATAAAACATACCAGCATGCAGGTTCGAACCCCCCGCCCTGTCTCCTTCCTCCAGGTGAGGTCCCTCCAGGTAAATCCATCCGCCACATGCGTCAGTTCCACTCCCACCACAACCTGCTCAGCCTGTCCCAGCCCTCCTCCTCATCGTGTTCCACCTCCCGGCTCCACGGTCAGGACCCCGACCCCCAGGACCGCAGGGGCCCGCTGGGTTCTGCACTGAGCTTCTCTCTGGGCGTCGGCGGCGGCAGCTGCTCCAGTCTGAGCGGGTCGACCGAGAGCAGCATCTGGGTGAGACAGACGCCGCAGGAGGAGAGCAAACCGTCGCCCGCCACCAACTTCTGGGACTTCTTCACCGGGAAAGGCTCGAGCTCGGAGACGATGGTATGATGAAGGGCGAGAAGAGAGGAGGAGCGTGATGGGGAAAGAGCGTGAGTGTGCAGTCGTGCAACTTCCTGTCCGAGGTCAGAAATCCTCCGAGAAATTGGTCAAAGTTCCTGTTACATTTCCAGAGACGTCTGAATTTACAAACAAAAGATAAGTATATTCCAGGATTATAAATGCGTCATGACGACTCTTGTTTTGAAAAATCTCCAAATTTCCTACTTGAACTTCCTGTATATGACTGTGTAGTTGGGACAAAGAAGAAATGAAGAAAAACCAACAAATGAAGGATAAACTTTTTTCTTTTTTTTTTTTAAAGACTGTGGATTGATGTTGAAGATGAAAACGTCCTCGGACAGAGTCACGGACATCTGAGTCAATAAAGAAACAAAACAAAAACAAAATAAATCTGTCAATGAGATTATCTGGAGGTGGATGCAGTAATAATTGCAATGTATATAAACTGTACATGATGTATTCCATAAGTTTACATACACAAAACTTTGTCTTTACTACCTAGAACTGTGTAACTAACTGTAGCTGCATGGGCTCCACTAACCCTTCCTCTGTGTTTCCCCCTCAAAGAGCCACATTTACTTTGAATCGGATTCACAATTCATCTTTCAGCTGTCCACAATTAGCAACTATGAAGATCCAAAGTGTTCAAAAATATGAACGACTACAGACAAAACATTTAACGCAGCCATTCAATTTCAAATTTGAAATCGGCTCGGAAATTTTTGTGTGCAGTTTTTTTTCCCTAGGTCACAGGTTACATTCACATTCGAGTTTAAGTTTCAGCAAAGAGGGATTTTGCATTCTGACCTGAGAGGTTGGATGCTGCATTCATGTCACATGGGCAGTTTAACTTGTAAACAGCCTTCATGTCCATTTTGAAGTCCTATTAACCAGTTTTCTGAAAACTCCACTACATCCATCTTAATCCAGAAGTTTTGAGCCAAAGTCCTTTTTAAGATTTAATAAACCCAAATTCAATAATGTAGCACTACACCGTCAGTGCACAGTATTTTTAGCCCTCATATGACCAACTTTGCTAGTGCACAACCGTCCTGAGTCGTTACCAAATTTTTGCATCTCTACCAAGAATCCCATTTTCTGTGAACGCAGCATTAAACTTCAGTATTCTACAAGGTAAAAGAAAACCATCTGAACCAGTGATTTTCTGCAGCATAACAACTTTTATTCCTTAAAGAAAAAAGAGCTCAGAATAAAGGAAAATTTGATCATCTGTGCAACTCCATCTAATGAGGAAGCTCATCTGTTGAGAGCTCCGGAGCAGCTACTAAATAGGATCTTATGAGAACTTCTACGAAGGTGAAGAATGACCTTATTTCCCATCAAGCTAATCGTCTTACAGCAACGTGGAGGGGTCTGTGTTACATGTAAATGTAGTTTAACAGCACTTTAATGGCCATATTTCATTGTGAAGCAGCCATTGAAATGCTGTTGAAACAAAGGTTTTTCATGCTACCTAGATGTCTAAAACTCTTCTCAATGAAATGACGCCTGGTTTTTTAAAAAGGTATCTCAGCATGTGCATGTGTCTTTGGAGCATCTTTGTCACCGGGGTCCAGCCCCGTCCAGCAGCTAGAAATCATTTAGACTACAGGAATATCGTATAGAAATTCAGCTTTCAGGAGTGTTACCTTCCTTTCACCACAAGAGGGAGACATCCGCTCATATAACCTGCATAGATTAAGTGTGTTAGGTTTGGGAATAGTGCCAAACGGTAAGAAACTGTACAGATGTTTTTGCCTCTGGCCTCTTTGTAGTAGAAATCCACGATGTTGTACAGAGATTTTCCTACATCCTAACGTTTGTATTTCTTCACCACAAACACAGAAGTTGTCCCTCACCTCGGCAGGTGAATGTATCATCTGTTCTTTTGGATTTCCTTGTAGAGAAAACAAGACATATTTTGTCTTTTTTTGTTTGTTTGTTTGTTTGTTTTTTTGTCAGTGACACTTTTTCTATATCATTGTAAAATCCATCAAAGTGTGTTAAGACCTAAACCGGAGAATGTACCGCCTACCTGCAGAGAATTAAATGTCAAACTCGCCCTGTGTCGTTGCTTATTGTTGAATCTGCTGGGAGAGAGGAGGGATTATTCTTCTGACTCAGTTCACTGTTACCATGTTACTGTGTCAGGGCCTTTTGGTCACTTTTGGCAGCACAACAATTTGAAAAGCAATAATGTGAGTCAGACGACAAGAACACCCTGCAGGGGAAGATGATCTCACACCGGATACACAGACAGATTCTGCTTTCAGCTTCAGTTGGTTCCATTTAGATGCTGCAGAGTTCGTTTGGATTTACAGAACGACACAAAACCAGATGATTTAAAACATAAAAAAATCACCTGCAATCCCATGGTAGAGTCCTCAGTGTATCTTTCAGCAGGAAACAGACTGGAAACTGGAGTCTAGACTCGTCCACCAGTAAGTTAATATCTGTTGACTTGAATTAGTTGTTCCCATCTTTTTTTCTCGCTTGGGATCCTCAGATGTTCTTGATCATTCATCATTATGTTGTTGAAACAAGCTATCATGTAGGGATTTGATACGCTGCAGTGAGTTACAATTCCATACTAATGTTGTAAAGTAGTGTATACACCCACGTACTCAAGTTAACTCTGAACTATTTTGGCAGAAACGACGGGAGGTACGAAGCGACAGCCACCGCCGCACGAACTGCAACTTCCGCAAGTTTTCAAGTTGGCAAACAACAAATAGCAGGTAAAAAAAAAACAAAAAAACAAAATCCAAAAACTTTGTTTCCTAAACTTTCACTGAACCAACTTTTTTTTTTTCTAGCCAATTCTAGTTTCTTTTGCACATTGTATAAGCTACAGAAGTGTCAGAGTCAAGTCAGAGCTTCTTTAACCAAAAACAAGAACTAAGTTGACACTATGATATTCACTATACTAGATTCTGATTGGCTGCTGAGACCAGCTCCTCTTCTTCAGATGATGTAAACCTGCCAGAACAAGGAAAACTATTCAAGGTGTTTGATGTGATTTAAAACCAAATCTAACTGAGATGGACTGATTTGAGTTTATCTGAAAACACTTATATTATTAGAAGTCATATTTCTTCAAAAATCATTGACGGTATATTCAAATTCCTGCAAGAAAACACACACATTTTGCTTCGACAAACGCTGCAGCGGCTGTATAAATCAACAAGAACGAATCCTGAGAAACGGCAGCAGAGACAGACACAAGACCGTTCCTACGATTCCATCTTCAAAACCAGTTTGTGTTTTATTTCAAACAGTTTGGACACCATCAGAACCAGCCGTCATTCCCAAACTTCACTGCATCTACATGTATTCAGAATGAACTTCAGACAGCAGTATGTGCAGCAGCCGCAGCCCCACAAACACAAACAGAGCACAGAGGAGAAGGACTCGATGCTCTGTCATTGGGATGTGTTTGCAGCTAAAATGAAGAAGCCTCAGCCTCAGCAGTTTCGAACAATTTATGGCCAGTTAAAGGTCTGCCACAAAAACCCTGTGTCTGAGAGTGGTGCCAGAATAAGAACAAATCTCTCAGAAAAGACTGAACCAGCTTTTTAACCACAGTCTGTTGCACTTCAATGCTCCATTGCTCAAGATGAATCCAAACCAGATTCTTGTGTTTTTATATTTTCCATAATTGAATGTTATTAAAGTTTGAATTCAGTCTCACAAAGCTGCAAAATATTAAATGATCTTTTTTTCCAACAGACATGGAGCTGTATTTGATGTAAATAAGCAGTTTTGTTGTTTGTGTGTGTGAGGCTGCCGTCACATCGCACGCTAGTTGCAACACACAATGTTGGGAGCGTTAATGACACATTGAGTCACTTCTCGTCCATCACATAATAGGTTCAAAACATTTACATTCTTGGTGAGTCTTAAAAGGGGATGATGTGGACGACCGAGGCCCCGGGGGGGGGGTTCAGGACACGAAAACTTGAACTGTTAAAGGAAAAATCCATCTGCAGTGTTATTTCTCAACAAAATGTTGGTGCTTCTGCTTTTCCCCAACCCAGCTCATCTACTTTAGGAAGTAATTTCCTACAGTTCCCACAATGCCTTTCTACAACACCAATGGCAGAGGTTTTAATTTGCTGTTTTTTTTGTCAATAACGAACATACAGGAGTTTAACGAGTTACTAGATACGTTAAACATTTAACTATTAGTTGTTGTAAATTAGTCTTCTAATTTTTGGCCCATTTTCTTGTTATTTTAACGGGTTAATGTTGGTAGAAAACTAAAGCTTTTTACCGACGACACCATATTTTAGATTAGAAAACATCAACCGGAAACGATGATCTCAAGACTTTGTGTAGGTAAATAATCACAATGTTGACATCCAGTTTAATTTACTTTGAGCACTGAACTCTAAAATAGTTTTAGCATGTGTTGGTATGTGCATTAAAGTACCAATGCCAAATCCTTGGTCTGGGCCTGCATCATAATTTTTGAGTTCAATTTTCAGTTTAAGGCCGAAAATGACATTGATATTTTAAAGATCCAGTAACAATATTGTGTGTGCGCCAATAGTCATGTTTTTACATAATCGTATAATATAAACAAACATTTTAATAAAAGTCCCTTAATTTTGTTTTTTTAAATCGTGGCCATCATATATACTGACCGCAACATTTTACAGTTTAAAAAATACATTTGACATATGATAAATTTGTAATTGTGTCGCTGTTTCTAAACTACCTTTAATGCATCTTTGGAATTTCTGTACTGCAATTGTCGGCTGACATATACGATTAATCTGCGATAAGCTCATTTCAGCCGTTTTATATTTTAAGTTATCACAAAAAAACGTTTCCATATACCAGAACTCAGGAATTATAATGGGACATTTACAGAATTTGACCAGTTATCGTACAACAAATTATAAAACAAGCCAAGAGACAAAAAAAAAAACCACCAACAGTTGAATATTTTCAAGTACTCATGTAATTTAAAGTGGATTTTTCCTTTAACACAGTGATACATGTGACAGTTTTTGGTCAGTTTCTTATAGGAAAACTTCTTGAGTTTTCTGTGTACAATACTGTGACCGGTCAGATTACATATGAGATCATTCATTTGGGGCTGTTTGGTTTAGGCTGCCAAAAAAAAAACCACCAACAGTTGAATATTTTCAAGTACTCATGTAATTTAAAGTGGATTTTTCCTTTAACACAGTGATACATGTGACAGTTTTTGGTCAGTTTCTTATAGGAAAACTTCTTGAGTTTTCTGTGTACAATACTGTGACCGGTCAGATTACATATGAGATCATTCATTTGGGGCTGTTTGGTTTAGGCTGCCTGTGATGCCAGATGGGTGGGGCTTGTTACTTTTTAAGCACCAGGCATATTGATTCACCACCAGAATAAAAGTACTGTAGAGACATAATGTCCGCTAACATTGTTTGATCTAGATCTGCTGATTATTTCAAGCAAGCAATTATTTATATTCCAATAATAACATCTGTATTTATGTACACATCAACATCTCTCATCACATACTCCCAAAAATTAAACCAAAATAAATCCTTAAAAATATCCAGAGCTGCCTACACAAGAATGGTAGACTATTAAAATTAGTAAAATATATCAAAAACAAGTGAAACATCTAAGAAAAAGAAGTTAACATAAACATTCATAATAATAATAATATTAATAGTATTTAAATAAAAAAAAGAGCCTTGTTTCAACATGGGTTTCCAAAGCTTTGTCTGGCCAAACACTTCAACCAACACAGATTCATAACCAGCTCCGAACTGAATCTGTGGACTTCCATTTCCCAAGTGATGCCTTTTTGTGCTTGTTTTTGTTATTTTATACCGTGAGTGAAGGAAGGTTTGCTTAAAATATGCTTCAAATATAAAACTCATCATTTGGTACAGATGAAAGCAACAATTTCAGGTGTCCACAGATTCTGCCGGTGCCTCTGCCGATATAACCTGAATTTCAAGTCAGACCTTTTCTTTTCTCTGACTTCCAAAAACTGCAGAACTGATGGAAACAAAGTGGATCAACCCAAAAAAAAAAAAAAAATTCTGTCAACATCATCCTTTCATGTAGATTAGTTGAGTTTAAGAGCAGCACAGACAGGAAAGGGAAATAGTGTTGACTTTGAAACCTCGACCCAGTGGATGAAGTGGAGTGTTTGGGACGCGTCAGCTGAAGTCGCCGCCTCTCCTTCGTTTTGAAAACTATGAAACGTTCAAGAACTCGACCACAAACTTTTGTGGTTGTAATGAGCAGATTGTAACTGTTGAGTTTGGATTTCGTTGGATTTACCGACACTGTTTTAACATTACCTCGCCCTGATCCAGGTGTGTGTCATACGACGCACCGCTGTCCAGGATCGCTATGGGACATTTCATCCTATATATAAACTTTGATTTTTCATGACTTGTACTGACTGTAATGGAGTAGCACTAAAAGAGATTGGAAACTCTAGAAACCCTATCAACGATTAGCTGTGTTTATTTCAGCTCTGATACATAATCGTGATGAGAAAAAGTTTTATTTCAAAGTTTTTAACTCACTCACACATTGACCCGTAATGGCACGACACTATTTTGCTCTTTTTTCCAAGTTAGTCAGTAAGCCAACTTGATAACTTTCCTTTTTTAATGGTAATAAACATTACATTGTCCTAACACTGCCAGCACGAAAGCACACGTCGTCGCTGATTGGTTTATATATATATATATATTTAACCCTGCAAACACAGCCCCAATATCTCAATCAGGCAGTTTGCCACATGGAGCTTTGAACCTGAAGTAAAGGTCATATGGGTCATGATGAATATTGCCTATCACCCTGCGAGTCTGTACTTTTGTTTTGTACTTCCTGTCAGCTGCTCAGTGACTGAAATGCCAGAGTTCTGGGAGACAGCGACGCAGGACTGCGATACGTAATACGACGGTCAGGGATCAAGGCTCGGTGACTCAAACACGCTGTGGGTAAACCCGACATATCCAGAGTGGATCAGGGCGACACGTTACTCTGATCCTGTGCTTGTAAAAAAATGTTTTATTGTAAATGCTTTTAGAAGGAGAGAGAACGACTTGAGTTTTGAGACGCACCCAAATCCAAATGGCATTTTACAGGTCAAGCATCAGCCCTGCTCTTGTTTTACTGTACATTTTAACATTCAGATAATACTCGACCCACTGCCCAGGCCACTCAACTGCTGTAGAACATATACAGGCCACAGAGCGCGCGTTTCCATTCACTTTCCATCTGCTGCAGCTTCGTTACGAAAGGAGTGTGACCGGGTGAGCTTGCTCGTTAATCCGAGGCAGCCCGGTTGGGTGGAGCCTCATGAGCTTGGCAGTGTAAAACATACTTCAGAAAAAACAAGACTAAACCAAAAGAACCTACATTTGGTTTGTTTGTGCGTTTAACAAAAAAAGAAAGAAGAGGAGGTTGTTGCCGATCAGCAGGCTCAAGTTTTAAAATGGCTCCTGTTTCTCCTCCTCTCAGCACAATTAAAACCTATTTATGAGCATCAATTAAACCATTTATCTATTTGCACAATCGTTAAGAGACCAGAGCTGTAAACGAGTAATCTGTTAAATTCGTAGATAGAAAATTAATTGGCTTCAATATTGATAATGATTAACCATTTAAGTTGTTTGTCAGGACAAAAAGACCAAATGTTTTCTGACCACTGGCCTCTGTAACTTTAGGATTTGTTGCTTTTCTCTGTTTTATATCACTGTGAATTGAATAATTTGGAAAATCTGAAGATGCCACCTTGGACTCTGGGGAATAAGTGATGGGACATTTATTATTCTAACATTTAATAAACTGACATTATGTGTTTATGATACAACTGCAACTAATGATTATTCTCACTATTCATTGATTTTGTTTTTTTAATACATTTATTTGAATTAATTTCTTATTTAATCTTCAACCTGCCAAGAAAGACAGACGACAAATTCCTAGATCTTAAGAAGCAAATAATTTTTCTGCTGATCGACTAATTAACTGACTTCCCAGTTTTAGTTCTGATTTTACGATTACAGCTTTTAACAGTTTAATTTATGCTTTAAAAAAAAGCAACACTAGAGTCCAATGTTTGGTGACATGACCCTTTAATATTGCCAGTAACAGGCTGAGTCAACACTGAATCAGAACTCTTTCCTGAATTAGATCTTAAGAGATACTGAGGAGGGGGAAGCCATTTTAAACTGCTGAGACAAACACAGACAGAGACCGTCTTACTGCATTAAATATACCGCGTCGCCGCCGCCGTCGACCGACCGACCGACCGACTGACCGACCGACCGTGGACGAGCTCCACATCAGCAGACCGTTAGCGTCACTCAGCGTTATTGAGCAATGCAGGATGATTGTGGAGTGAAAAACATGTTATGTAAAAGGTCTGAGCGCCTGCCAGAGCTGCAGCTGCAGGAGAAACACTTAAGCCAGAGTCGAAATTTGCCAGCGTATGATTGGTGGCTGATATTATGAGGTGTACTGTACCAGCTGTAGCAAGGTGTGCGTACGGGAGGTGTTAGAGTTTGCAGTCGGTAAATAAAGCTTTAAAAAGGCGCTAAAAGGACAAGACACACTAAACATTCAGACAGGTTTTGTGTAGTGTGACAGTTTGGATGTAAGAACTGACTTAAAGGAAAGAAAAAGTCTTTCTCTTTGTGTGTCCCTTTAAAACGATACAAATGTGCATATTCTGGCTTTTTTTGTTTGTTTTGTTTTTAAATTCAAAAATGTTAAAACAACACGAACCTTTAAAAGCAAACTGTAAAGTCAAAACCACGAGAAGCCAACTTCAAAAAAATAAAAAGTTAGCTTATGCTGTTGAAACATCTTCGTTTAATATCTTCCCTTGTGGACTTTTTTTTTCTCTCTGCTGTGGCACCAAACATGACCCGTAATGGCACGACACACCAGGAACTGGAGAACTTAAACTTTCACCAGCCACTTTCACTGCTCAGACAACTAGTTTTTTTTTTTTAAAGCTAAAAACAGGATTGTCAGATCTTGAAGCTCATCGTTTTAGATCTTTACCACTTAGATATTTGGAGTTAACTGATTTCTACCAAAATTTTAGGTGTCTTCATGCAGCTCTTCAAATAAACTTGGTAAAAACAAAATGAAAACCTCAAACGAGCTGCTGATAAAACCTTGACATAATTAATAAAACAGTAAATGGTTGAATTACAGATATTGCAAAATATTATTTTTTCAAATATTCAAAATAATTTTTTTTTTTTTGTTGAGTAAAAACTGAAAATAATGAGCCCTTCTTATCTGTCAAAGACTAATTTGTCAGATGCATCGACGCCTCTCCAGTGGCTGGTTTTCATTTCCCGTTCTGCCTATATAACACTATATCTCGTTAGCACCACCTCATGATATAAACACTGCAAACTAGCAACTGCATCACTGCGCGTCAAGCTAAAGGTAGTGTCAGTGGTTTTGTTGTGACAGGCGGGACGTCTAACAACGCTGTCAGATATTAGTCTTTCTCCGTCTCCAGAGGAAGATTCATTAGGGAGCTTCTCTTTTTTTTTTTTTCTTTCTTTTTTTGTTTTAAATTTGAGGTGAAGGTTATGTGTTAGCGTAAAGCTAAGGAAAAGCTTTACGGTCACTGTGGAAAGCTAATTTAGCACGGTATAATAATATGCACACAAAAAAACGCTAAAGAAGACTGCGATGCCACCGATGGTAACCATGACACGGAGGCTTGGCATCCTCTGGCACGAGTCACATATGTGTCTCATCCGAAACAGCTGATTGGTCACTCTGCATCATCACGGCAGTCCCAGACTGCTTTTTACCTCCAGAATGGACTGCTGTGCACACGCCGATGTCAGCCTCTTGGATTGGCGTTACTCTTTAAGTCTTCCCAGCTGATGCCACAGTGCAAAGCCAGCGTTACAGAATCGGCCATCTTGTTTTGTAAGGTGCTTTGTTGCAGTGTGGGCTCAGAGGATTTAAACGGTCGTAATCCAGGAGGCTGGCATGCGACCTGCGCACGTCTCAACCGATCCGAGTTGGCGCTCCAGTGCAAATCTCCGCCGACAGGGAATAAAGCCTGGATACTTATGTGAGCGTACTGGGCGGAGCCGGTGGCAGGCATAAGCCCCTCCCCCTCTGTTGAGTGACAGTCTGTTGGGGATTTTACCGCTGGCTGGTTCAGTCCCTGGACTGGTAGAACAGGATGTATCCCGACTCGGAGTTCTTGGAAATGTCCGATGTCAGACCGTAGAACTCCTCGATCGCCTGCGCGTCAATTTTCTACAAGAGAAGAAGACAGAGGTTGAGTTCTCACTCAGCCCTGCAGTTAAATGACTTTTCCTAGACAATGCGATGCACGTACACCAGGCAGATGCTTATTCGCTTTCTTTCTCTGTTTTTGCATCAAGTAGAGAGCTGAGGCAAAATCAGTTAGCTTAGCTTAGCATAAAGACTGGAAGGAGGGGGAAACAGCTAGCCTGGCTACATTCAAAGTACAAACTATAGAACATGGTGTTTACTTCCCACCTCGATTTTAGGAACACAGAGTAAGAGAAAAGATGCTGTTCCCTGTTTCCTGTTCACAGAGCACAGACGTAACTGGGAGCCAAAAAAGGCTTTTACCAAAACTGAACATTGTGTTCATATTTTTTGGTTTGAGAGACATTCTTGGACAAACCAGATCTATTATTTCCGAGATCAAGATGGTTTTTTTTTTTATAACTCAAACAGAATAGATCTGTGCGTCACTTAGCTTAATCCCTCTTAAAAAGAATGTTATCAAGTCACTTCTACAAATGTTTTCGTGTCTGGAGAATTTGTGGAAACTAATTTTCACAAACAAGAAACATGTTTTATCCCCGACCTTTATCAAACCTCTGCGTAAAGACGACCGGAGGATGACAGGCCGTTCCTTGAGCGCTGCTGAACTTTGTTGTGTAACTGTTTCACCGAGGCTTTTCATTTGCTACACAAATCTCCATCTAAAATTGAGTATGTTGACAAGTAAGTGGTGATGTCTGTTTCTTATTTGGAGAAGCAGTTTTCTGTCCAGAAGGGGGAAAGTGGGGAAAATGGGGCTGAAAACAAAACTTCAAGAAATATGCTTTCGCACTGGTGGTGAAAGAGAATTGGCTACAAACAGAGATAAACAGGCACAATGAGACGGATATAACTTATAAGATAAAGTTGTGGAAGCTAGAATACAAAGCAGTGAGGCAGACAGGGCGAGTAAATCTACACAAACTATAAAAAAAAAAAAAAAAAAGAAGATAAGTTAGGGTTTCAGCTCTGCAAACTCAGCGGAATCTGCCACAACTCAGCCAGTTTCTGTCCACTGGACCAGATGTTCCAGCAGGCGTCCTTCCCATCATAGTGGAAAAATCCACCGCTGGTGCGATCAGTTTTAAACATCAGCCCTCGATGACTGTGAAGGAGCAGCTCACTCTGTATCCAAACAGCGGGGTGACCTCTCCCACTGCCGGGGGAGATCTAAAGTAAAATAAACTATTTTAATTGGGCCAAAGGTCCCGAAGCGGGGCAAAGAAACGCCTCCGATGTATAGATCTGATGTTTAACTGTGGCCGAACTGGAACCAACCACTGAACTGGGACTGGACTTGGATCAGAAAGGAGGGCTGAGGTATTTTATTGCACTGAACATTTGGTAGTTTAATATGAAATATGTGAAGGCTGGGCCCATAGAGAAATGTTTTAAAGGACCATACCAGTAGTTGTGCATGTTTTTACCCAGCTATGACCTCACTGCTAAAACATATAATTCTGTAAGTGTCAACAAAAACTGGACATTACAGGCATAATTAAAAGTGGTGGAACAGTTGCATTGGGTTGCATCAGACTGTACAGTTGTTCCTAAATAAAGACCATGAATTGATTATTGAGTAGACACAACCATGCACCTGTGTTTCAGACAGTTGAATGGGTTTTTTTCTACCGTTCCAGACAAGCTATTGGTTTCCATTAATTGCTATTGGCAGACTCTTTAAACTTGAGTTGTGGAATCCATCACAGAAACCAATGGCTGCCTGGAACAGTACATTAAAACTAATCTAAAGCTTTACAGTATGCATCCAAAAGTGTTAGCAAAAATATAAAATATACATGATTAGTAGCAAAGAGATAAACCTGCAACATCACTGCTCTGGTCCTGTAAAAGGCAACAGTGGGAATCTGAGTATTTTGTAGGTAAAATCTAAAATGCAGTGGTGAAACTTGTTGGAACAGGTCACGAATATGAATAAAATAAAAGACTGAAGACAAAATTGATCATGTACAAAACTTTTGTACAACTAGTTTCAAATTACACCTATTCATTTCTCTAGGATATAACTGAAAAATGTTAATTAAGGTTTGTAGATCATTGTTGTTGTTGTAATTCCAATTCATTTCTTGTTGTCAAGAAGACAACAAAAACACAAAGTGACTGTAACGAGTATTTACGTAGGTTTAAATGGGACAGTTTTTTCCCTGTAATTAGTATAAATTACATAATTCTTTACACAACACTTCCTACGAAATTTTAAGGCAAATTGCAGATCTGACTAAGAAAAAAACATTTGTACAGCACTGTATGTCTGCAGTCACAAAAAAAAAACTTACAGCAGCGCTGTGAAACAAAAGAAAACTATTACACAACTTAGACAACTCTGTTTGTACTGTACATTCATCTCTGTAATACACAGCGAACCCTGGATCATTTAACCACAATGACGACACAGTCCGTTAACTGCTGATAGCTTGATTGCTGTGACACGCTGTCCTTTTTGGCTTGAGCAAAGAAAAATAACAAAGTGAGAGGTTACTTGGCTGCAGCTAAAACACAGCAGCATGCCGAGGCTTTGGCCGTGTACCGCTGCGGTCGACGGCCAGCGACTGAACAGCTACATCATGCTTTTGGCAAACTCTGTTCACTAGTAAAGCAATACTTCTAACTTCCTATACTTCATATGCACAAGGGATGGAGGTGCTTTTAAATATAATCAATCCAATTTTCTTGGTTTGATTAATCATCACGTTATCGCAGCTATGGTTACGCAAACTGTTGCATGTCGGCGCTGCCGTCCTGTCAGCTGCAGCGTGCTGAGAGAGGAGCTGGGAGAGCGTTCAACAGGGGGCTGAGCGCTGTCACACATGTAGAGGGATGTCAGACTGTGTTGTTTCTATGAAGCCTGTCATGTTCTCTCCTGTCACCACATCAGAGAGGGAAGCAGATGGTTTTGCAACAGGAGCCGCTGGGAGGGAATCGGCATGACAACCGAAAATATATGCGAGCGAAAGACTGAAGTTAAAAATAACCGAAAGCGTAATCTCAACATCAGCGTCACCTGCTCGCAGATAGTAGAAATTAAAAGATGAAGAATGAGGGCTGGAGCGGACGGAGCGGCACTCTGTCATTTTTATAATCTGCCGAACACAGTGAGCCGACCAGGTCTCCCCGACCGAAGAGGCCTGTAGTTTATGGCTGCGTAACTGGGGTGAATAATGTCTCAGGTAGAGCAGGTACAAGGCGAACATGAGAAGAGGAGTCGAGAGGGAGAATGAAAAGAAAAGTACGAGGAGGAAAGAGCAGGTAAACATTCTCAGTCTGGTTCTTGTCCTCAGGTCTTCAGTGTAATCCTGCTCTATAATCTAAAGCAGGTATCCACTTCTTTCTTCTGTTTTCTCTCCCTTCATCTCCTTATCCTTCTGTGTGGACGCTTTCATGCACCCCTCCATTCCTCTAATCGTATCCTGATCGCTAAACCCGATTTTTAGCTCCCCATTATTTAGCAAAGGTTGAAGTATCTAGGTCGGCCCCCGCCGTAGGAAATCCAGACACAACATTCGGAACGCCAGGATCTACACCGAGTCTGGAAGGACGGCCGTTTGAAAAATTCCTGTCTGGTTAGGATGAGGTGGGAAACTTCGAAATGAGACTGTGTGGAGAGGTGAGACGGCTGATGGGGATTTCAAACTTTCGACTGTTGTCTATCGTGGGCTGAAACTTGTATCGCAACATAAGAGTGCTCAACTTGGTTTCCTGATTTGACCTTTTAATCTTAAGAGTTGCCTGTTTGTTGAATTATTTATTTTAAATCCAGGACTAATGACCAGAAAAGACAAAGAATCTATTGAAATGTCATCATATGATGCTTCTATCATACATTTATCACTCTTTTATCCTTATTTGTAAAGCACTATGAAACGTTTGTTCGGTACAGTTCTCTGTAAATCTGCTTATAAATAGAAGATAAATGAGGGAAATATGACAAAAGAGGCTCCAGTGACAAAAAAGTTTCTTTACAAACGTTTCAACAACAGCTGCAACAATTCGCCAAGTCATCGACCACAGAAAGAAAATTAATCAGCAACTATTTTGATGAATGATTAATCATTTGAGTCCAATTTCAAGCAAAGATGCCAAAAGGAAATTGACAGTTTCAGCCTCTGAAATGTTTGAATTTGCTGCTCTTCCTCATCTTACATTAGAGTAAACTGAATATCTTTGGGTTTTAGATGGTTGGTTGCACAAAAACAAGACATTTCATATCATCACGTCGAGCATTTTTCATACTTTTCGTCTGTTTTATAGTCTAAAAGATTAATTCATTCATTAAGCAAACAATCATCAGATTAACTGATAATAAATAATGAGAATAATGATTTGTTCCAGCTCCATTTTCAACAATCAGCTCTGTTTTTAAACTGCTTGTAATTCTCGATTTGGGGTTTTTAGTTGCTTTGTGCAACAGTGCGGATGAGTTGCAACAGAAAAGGTTAAAGTCAGAAACTATACATGAACAGTGTTTGATGCCAAAGGTCAGCAGTTTTACTCTTTACTGTGTTACCAGCAGACGTGCAGTCAGCTGACAGCGCTCAATCTTTGCGTAGTGAAACCAAAACAATAAATCCCAATGTTTACCCACAGCTGAGAATCTATAAGATATTATACTGTAGTATAACACTGTAGCGTTTAACACCATTATGCAAAGGTCAATCTTTACTGGTTGTATTCAGCATCTGAAGGCATCCAATTTTCTTCTATAAAAGAAAATACTGAAGAATCTGAGAGAATTACATTGAACTCGCACACAAGAAAAGTGTTTGATGATCAGCCTGAAGGCAAAACATCTGAATTATTTTTCAAGGCTCTAAAAAACAAAATAAAAAATGAGAAAACAGAGAATGAGAAAGAAGGAGAAGTTCTTACCTCTACGATGTCGTCGTCAAACAGCAGCCAGAAGCCGTGGCTCTTGACGATGGTGATGTAGTGTCCGCGGTTGGGACCACTGCAGCGCAGAGACACAGAGGAGGAACAACAGGGGAGACGCGTTATGAAAATATTATTTAGGATTAAATATTCGGTGTTTTGAGTCGAATCTTTCAAAGTCTAAGTGAGGCAGAGACACTCAAAGGTACAAACAGTTCAACAGCATTTGAAATTTATGTTGTGATGAACTGAGAGAGGTGGTTAGTTACATGCTCACATCAACAGACGGCAGCATGGGAGCCGTGGTGTTTATATATAACGTCTATCCACCTGAGGGAAGCTGAAGACGATCTGACGACTAACGACATGCACAGGCTCACTGTCGGTCAGCTGGTGTCTGACGATCACCCTCAGAGGACCTTCCACATGCCTGAGTCACCTGAACTGAACTTTCCAGTGTGACTCAAAGAGCTGAATGCAAACAACCAGCTTTTCCAGCCAGTTTTTTTTTGTTGCTATAATCACATATAAAAAACATTTTATAAGTAACACTGTTGCCGAGAGCAGGCAAGAAAAAACAGTTGAGACCTTTGTAAATGAACTTCTTAACACATTTAAAAAGGTCTCTTTTTTTTGTTGAGGAATTTGAAATAAATGCTTTTAAAGACTTTCCAAGACCTGCAGACGCCCTGTAAACTGAGTTTCAAACACATGATTAGTGTTGAAAAATGCAGTTTAACAGATTAGCTGATGGACTGAAAATTAAATTATGCAGGAAGCTGCTTTTTCGGTTCTTTGGCTGCTGATCAGACGACGTGAGCAATTTAAAACTTTTCTGTATAATTAGGAGAATTGTCATGATGCACTGATGCACTTTGGAGAATTGATGACAGAACCTACCTGCCACAGTGTACGACGACAGCCACCAGGTCGTACATGCGGTCGGGATTGGTGGCGTCCCCGGACGTGTTGAAGAGGCGGAGCTCCAGCGGGAAGACGACGCGATAGGACAGTTTGGTGTAGCGGTGCAGCTGGTCCATGTATTTAAAGCGCTTCAGGTGGAGGGCGAGGATCATGGGTAGCTTCTTCACCCTCATCCTGACAGAGAGCGAGAGAGAGAGAGGGAGGGGTTTTAATGGTTTGAAGTGGTTTCAATGGAGTTCCTGAGGCCTTGGTGGCATTTTTCTTTCACTCCGAGTGATACGCTGAATGCCAGAGCACAACTGAAACGGAAATGATCTCTGAAGGGAACTCTTTGAGTTCGGTCTGGACCCAAAGCTGAGGGACTCACGAGAACTTTTATTGAAACAGAAAAATCTAAGTGAAAATAAAGAGCACGGCTTATAAAAAGGTCAGTGGGAAAAAAAAAGCACCAGGAGGGAAGTAAAGTCACACAAAGGCGGGCAGTGAGGGTGAGTGGGCCCCGACAACAAAACTCAGAGGGCTAAAAGCTTTCCACATCGACGCCATTACTGCCCCAGACCCCCCCCCCCCCCACCAGGAGCAAGAAGTGAGGTCTTGGTCGCTTTGTGCTCCTCCTAATTCTGCTCGTGCTCTCGCAGCGTTCTGCTCGGTGTTGAAGGGGGGGAGCAGTCGCTGGTGACAGCATGGTCCTTTCAGGCTAATGGATGCTACTTGGTGGACGGTAAAAATACACACACTCGTGAGCAGACGTTTCGGACAGAGAGGATATATTTATTTATTTTTATTTTTTTTCTGATGACACTCCACGTCCAGCAGCTGTGACACCGCCGTGCAGTGGCTAATAATAAACACCTTCGCCTAGCTCAACTTCAAACGCCTATGATGAACTTCTCAGAATGCAACAGGAAGGCCCCGACTGGTTGCCACAGTAACATCAGCTGTGGTTTTGGGGGGGGTTTTGTCCGCTAAGAAAAAAAAACAAAAAAAACCCTTTCGAGCGCTCGAGGGTAGCTGCGCGACAGCGGCTCTAACCGCTCGCGCTCCCACAGCGACAGACAGAGTGGTTATTTGGATGACAGGTTCTTACAGCTACAGTTGTTGAGCTTCTATTTTCATAACGGCCAAAAACCTGCTCAGGCTTCCACGTGATTAAAGCAGCAAGTTTGAAGAAGTTTGGTGTCAAAAAAGTTGCTTTTTCACGACTATTACCATTTTTCACTTCATTACCTCACATGACACCTGAAGGTTTCTAAGCTGCGTTTTCTTTGAAGAAAAGAACGTGTATTTTGTGTGTATTAATGTAGGTGTTATTTCTTGGTGTGGTGGTGATATATTTATAGTGGGTTACTCTTCATGTTGATGAGGCAGCTGTGAGTGTGAACCACAATATTTCACTTTCAGAATTTTCTAATGATGTTCTGGAGTTACAGCCTCTAATTAGCTTTTAATTTTCATCTGCTCCTGTTCGGGGTCGTACTCGGTATCTGCCGATTCCCTGAGTTTGGATATCAGAATTATTGTTGGGGTAGAAAAAGTCAGATAGAAACATCCTCTGGAAACATATTCGGAAAGGAGAGAGAGAAGCTGCATGTAAAAATAAAAAGGTAATAAAGTAAGAAAGAAAGGAAATGTGCAGCTGATTTCACTCACCTTTTCTGGGCTTCCTGTTTGCTGCGACACTGCTCACAGTAGTACTTGTATTCACTACATAATGTCTCTGTGTTGCTGAAGCCCCTGTTCAGAAGACACACACACACACACACACACACACACACACACGTGCCAACATTTAACACACTCTTGAGATAAACTGCGATCATGAGTCATTCAAGACTCATCAGTCCTGATGTCGTACTCAGTGTCTTTCCCGTGACTTTGAATATCAAGTGAGGATAAAAGGCTAATTTCTCCATAAGAGCCCCTCGTTACCTGAGACAGTGTGTGATGGAGGTGTTCTGCTCCACATCCACGGACAGATCCAGGAAGTCCTCGTCTTTACTGCTCACCTGGAACAAGAGTGAAGACGCTCAAGGTCACGTTCATCCTGTTACTGAACTGACGGAGAACTGGCAACGCAACATCATGACCAGTTGACAACTACAGTTGTTTCTGGTCCTTTTTTTTTGCATTTAATTCCTTTGTACCCCATTTACAACGAGCATTAGCCCTGCCTCAATATTTTGCATTTTCCGATCCAATCACAATGTGAACTCAGTCGAGACAACAAGAATGTATTTTAATACCAGGTTCAAATGCAAAGACTCGAGGATCCAGACAGATCGCATGTTAATACCAGGTGCAAATGGAGCCGTGAGTTCACATTAGTGAGGGTCCATACCAGGAAGTATCACAACAAAATCTCTTTTTAAACCTGCTCAAGTTTTTCCAAGTTTAGAACCAGAAAAACAAACAAAAAATGATTTTCTATCAAACAACTACTTCAAGCAAGATGAAAATTCTTTGTGGAGGTATATAAAGTGATTATCGTTGTCCAAAGGAAGTTAAGGAAGATATTGTTTGTTTTGAGCCTTAAATGCATCAAAATGTTTTATATATTGTTTGTTTTGTCCTTTCTGGGCACCAGTAACACACAAGTTGCAGTTAATTTGGTTATTGCACTGCATTGGAAAGGACTTGGGGTTTTTGGTGGTTTCAGATGCCACTGAGCTTCAGCCACCGACACTCACAGCTTCGCAGTTGAGGCAGCGCGTCTCGTTGGTCAGTGTTCCCTGGAAGATCTCGTGGACCCAAGTCTGTTGTGTCTCCTTCCCTCCTTCGCCATCTCCTCCTCCCTCACTTCCTCCTCCTCCTCCTCCTCCTCCTGCACTTCCCCCTCCTCCTCCATTCTGCACCAGTTTTCCATTCTGCTGTCGCTCCTGGCTCTTCTCCTCCTGGAGCAGGTCTGCGATAGTGTTGAGGAGGTAGTTGAGGAATTCGTGGGCGTCCTGCTGCATGTAGTTGTCAAACAGCTCTGACGGGGACACGGGTAGAAAGATATGAATATGTGAAAAGACGGGGAAATACAGTAACAGAAAAAATAAATAAATAAAAATATACACAGCAGTGGAAAGTGGAAACAGACAAGGACATGAAAAAAAAAAGAAGACAGAAATAGACAAATGGGGAAGGAAGACGTCGAAGAAAGAGAGAACAGAAAATAAACATCATCAGCACATGTTGGCGAGGAGACACGAGCCAATTAAGACCGTCTCTTCTTTTTCATCTGCTTTCCACTCCAGGATTTGGCTGACAATTTTATTTCCTCAGCTGAGACAACCTCCCAGCCCCCACCCCCACTCCATCTTTCTTCTTCTTCTCCTCACCCCATATCTCAGCTGTGACGCTCCGTGGTGAAAGGAAGTCGGTTTAAACATGTAACTGATGAAAGAGCTGTTCAGACTGTTTTTTCTTTGAGAAAAATACAGTAAGTCCTACATTTAATTTATTTAAACTTCTTTCAATGTTAAACCTTCCTTACGATACAACACAGATACAATAACATTAATCATTCTGCGTCACTACCATTCTCTTTTCTCAGCCGCGAGATGAATTTCTTGGGAGGGATGACTCCGACTTTCTTCTTCTGCGTAGCGATGCTGTTGAACAGGTCGGCCAGACAGGTGAGGAGGGACTCCTTCCGACGTGGCTGCACCTGGAGAGGAGGAGGAGGAGGAGGAAGAGGACACACCTGTCACCTACATAAAGACTTGCAACAGGGCCGTGTAATCTTCAGAGTACAGGTGAAGGTAATGCGACGTCCAGTTCAGGCTGAACTTTGACATTTTTATCTAATCTATGAGAGATATGACAAAACAATAAAACTCCCACACATTATGTGATGTAGATGATCTCTGAAATTTATGTTTCACTCATTAACCAGGGGGAGAGGTAACAGCTGAAGGAGGCTTTGAAGACTCTCTGAAGATACATTAAAGGTCCCATATAGTCTAAAGGTAGATGTGCATGTGGAGCTTGATTATAAAGCAAGTCGAGGTTCTGTATTAATACTGTGAAAGGATCAAAGCGCTCAGTCCACAGAGAAACACACACATCAACACTTCAAATAAAACACATGAGAAGTGTAAAACATGGACCTTTAACAACAGATTAATGAACTATTTTTCCTCAAGTGTGAACTCCATCTTCCAACAGCTGTATTACGAGTCCAATGATAAGATGAAACCTTCCCTCTGATATAAGGGAAACATGAAATACTTCTTTCAAAGCATAACATATTGTAAATTCCACGTTGGGGTGGAGGCACATTTCCAAGTTGGAGCCGTGTCCTCATTCTCTCATACGCTCCCTCTCTCACTGTCAGGATCTTGAAGGCAGCTGGAGCGTTTTTTTGAGCTGCTAATCGTGACGTGTGGTGACACCAGTAACTCTTGGCTGCTCGACAGACGACTCGGTCCCCGTCAGTTTCTGCAGTAAAGACGTCGGAGATGCTTTGTCTTCAGGAATTTATTTCCTCGTGGCAGGAAAACACATCACGTGATTTCACTGATTTCATATATGAGACGAGCACTTGTTAAATTTCCCTCCACATTCTGCTTTTCTAAATAAATCATTAGGGACAGTTCGCTACACACAGACGTTTCAGGCTCTGCCTTCCTCAGCTAGGAACTAGATTAAACCGATAAAATGCACTTTATTATAACTTTGGTGTAATTTCTGCTGCTCCAGTCGTCGGTTCCATCAGTAATGTAAAAATTGCACCTGCCAACTTAATTGCCGAGGTCTTGTAATGCGGCAACGCTGCTAAAAATAGGTCTGTCTGGGCAACAAGCGGGAGCAGTCAGATGATGAGACACGTTGAAAACAAACTCTGCAGGTTGGTCAAAGTTATTTAGAAGAGAGAAAAAGGACAAACTGTAAAACATCCAGACAGGTCATGTGTCACAGTCTGCTTCCCCTGCGAATATTGCTCCCCCATAGTGCTCAGGAAGGTTGTGATAAGGCGTGACAGAGATGAGTGGTTAGGGGTAGGGCTGCGGCGTGGGGTTAGGGCTAAGACTGGACTAAGGGGAAACAGATGTGGACCCAGCAGTGGCTCCCTGGTTCAACATTGAACAGGCAGTTGCAGTTTTCTGAGGGATTATTAGTGACATCTCAGGTGCACTCGCTTTCAGTTTTACTTTGAAATGAAGTGGTTGAGGGAATCTGACAAAAATGTGTGCTTGTTAACCACTTGTATAACATCTGCTTGTTATTGTTCTCCCATTGGACCTAATTATACAGATGTGCTCCTACATCTCAGCACTTACTCTGGTGAGTAATTGATATATTGCAGTAGGTGTGGGCGATCTGGACAAAAGATTAAATGACGATCTCTTTGAGTAGAAGTGCAATTCTCGATTTGAATCACGATGCATCCTGTTTCCGCTCTCCTGATTGGAAGTTGTGATTCGAATCTTTCCGCCATTTTGACGCTTCTTTTTAAAATTAAAGGTTGTCCACCCCTGTATTGCTATAATGAATGTTATCCCCTTCAACACTTTTAGAGCTCTCTAACTTTAAAAGACACACTATGATTGGACATGGAGAAACTCACTAGCCTTGCAACATTAGGTCTACAAATTCGCAGCCCCGCTTTTTCAAACTAACATCCAGAAAAAATATTGTCTTACAGTCGGGCCAGTATGATATTTAAGTGCATTCTTTTAGCGTGAGCAACCAGTCGGCTGTACTAATCTGTGGAGAGGTATACTGCTCTCCGTTACAGCGATGGTGTTTCTCTCGTCACTTACCTTGTATGCCAACACCTTCTCCCTGAACGGTCGACAGAAATACAGAGCCTGCAGCACTGAGTTACAGTAGCAGGTGTTGCCAAACTAGAAGAAGAAAAAAAAAAAGACAGACAGAGAGAGAGAAAATGAGTGGAGGGTGTGTCCATGAGACTTTGTGTTACAATTCACAGCAACTGAGAGGCAGTAGTATTTGAGGAATGGTGCTGGACACAGGTTTGAATCTTAATGATGGAAAGCACATTTACATAATTAGAAATACTTCCTAGAAGAACAATGAGGGCAGGACCATAATAAATCTACAAGCCCTAGTGAATGCTGTTTAGCTTTGATTGATACTTACATTGACCAATCCAAAGTAGTGTTCATTAACGGGAAACTGTTCCGGTCCAATCTCCTTTTCCAAGGCAGAGGCATTGGCGCCCTGGAGAAGAAAGAGGCACAGGCTGTAAGATGGCACAGTACAGCAAAGTAAACATTTTACGTCATATATATGATGTTCATTATCAGACTTTCTCTAACACTATAATAAATGATCCTTTAGAAAACTTTGTCCTTCGTCTTTCACTTCCTCTTCATTGTTTTCTCATTTTCCTGCTCTATTTTCTCTCTGCTCTGCTGGACTGTCGACCATCTGTTTGCTGCAGCTGTGTCCTGCTTCATATCCTTCGATTCTCCACACACACAGATTTCCTCTGCGCAGTGTCGCTCTCATTACTTGTTTGTACATATTTAATATTTTTTTTACACTAATTAACAACTTATCAGAGTGAATCCAGATAAACCTTCATCCAAGTCAGTTCTTTATTATCATTATTATTATTATCATTATCAGCTGATTGTCTATAGGCTCACTGTCAAAAGATGTTTTCAGCTTTGTCAACAAAATTTACAGGGACTTGCTCAGCTATTTAGATCAGTATATACAGTATAATTAAGTGTGTTGTAAAACATTATATCCAACATCAGGTCATAATTGGATACAAATGTTATTGTAAAGGAGCCAAATTATGCCAGATGTATCCAGCTTTTTTGACATGTGAATGGTGTTTTTGTTATTAAAGGCCACTTCCTCATTTTTTCATGACTCGATGACGCCCAAAATTCCCAAATTTCCTCCCATGACTCAGCTGTGACAAAAACATCAACACCGAGCTGCGGGAAACTTTAATGATAGGCGGGCACAACGGTAACACAGAGTGTCCTTTCACTTCTGATTAAGTGACTCATTTTTTACCTTGTGACAGTTGAACATCTGCATTTCACAGAGAGATTTCAAGGACCAAGGAGGAAAGATGAGCACAGATGTTACATGATGGTCGCATGTCTTGTAGATTTGAGTCAGAAAAACTTGCTTGTAAAATGTGAAATGATGTTGTTGTTTATGACAAAACAAACATGTTTATGAATATGTAGAAGGGAAAAGAAATTGAGAATTTATGCACAAATTATATCAACAGCGAGGTTACACAAATACTCCTCAGGCTACTTTTGTTAACATCCGTCAAAAAATTCAAAGACACAAAACTGTGTGTGAATCTCACCACTCTAAATTTCCACACCGTGTTTGGCCCTGAAGGTGCACATTTAAGTTACAAGTACAAATCCTGGCCCTGCTTTCCATTATAAAAGCAGAGACACAAAACCTACTTATAAATGAAGCGAGTGTGTGTGTGTGTGTGTGTGTGTGTGTGTGTGTGTGTGTAACTTCAATGTTACACACACTACTGTGTCAGGATTTTCAAGGCGAGACGATGAAGCAGCCTTTTAAAATGGAAATCATGTCTGTATTATAAAGGCTGGACTGACCGTGGCTCATCCATCATCTATCAGCAAAATACCACTTCATTACACCTTCCTGCATTATAGATTAAACCCCATAGTTTCTGCAGCAGGTTGCGACTTTCGCTGTATGAAGCTGAGTAATGTATCAATATTTTTGGCTTTCATAAATATGTGACTAAAATCTGACCAAAGATGAGAGTCTACTTTTTTCAGTCATCATGAAGCCTTTTTCTTCTGGATGTCATTTTGAGTTTCCAGGAATCAACTATTACATTAAGTCAGCAGAGAGAGAAACAGAGAGAGGAGGGGAAAGAAGATGATGATTATGATGATGATGATGATGATGATGATGATGATGATGATAACGATGATGCAGCTTTTCCTTTAAGGTTGACTGACTAAACAGAGTGGAGCCACTCCACTGTTACTCATCATCACACTGCAGTCCATGTAAAGTCAACAAGAGGCGAAGCAGATGAAGATCTGGCTGAGGTTATTTATCTAACAAAAACAGCCTCCAAACAGCACTGGGTTGTAAACAAAGCCAGCGCACACTAAAACAAGCTAGGTCGTGTCAGAACAACAAACAGACGGGGAGGGCAAATATCTGGGAAAAGATTTGTTCAGTATGGGCTGTAAATAAAAGGCTTTATTTAAATCGAAGTTTTCAGCACCGGTTTGAAGCGGCAGCTTTGAAATGACTCTGTTTCCTGAGCTGATGGAAATGAAAGTGAAGTGAACTCCGCCGGCTGCTGAGAGCTGCTTGAAAAACTTTTTTCAGTGGAAACTCGATTAAAGACAGCAGGGTTAAGTGACTGTTCTGTGAGTGCATAATGTTTATTAATCATGACTAACTGTTAGGGGATGTTATGAAGAAAAGCATCTTGACTAACTGATTTTCAACTGAGTGGGTATCGTTTGAAATGTCAGACACCAAAACCATTTGAATAAAATCAAAACAAATCTTTTTCATTTAACTAAATAAGTCGAGTATGTCAACGTTTAATACAAATCAATACATCATGTGATGTACTGTACCGTACACAATGTCTCTTCCTTGACTAAATGCTGCATTACAGTTAAATCATATGATTACAAGTTTACAGACTGCTTAGAGCTAAATGACCACGAGCATTTCTACCACATACTGCTTCTCTAAAAACATCCCCAACATGTTGCCATATAATGGATACAGAGGTGATTTTATCAATATTGCCCGGCTCTGGTTTGGACAGCCATAACAGTGACTTTCACGGTTTCACCAGCCAAATTGATTTTCAGAAAAAAACAAATACCTTCCGGGCAGAAACTGGTAGGCTGCCAGAGCGGCAATCAGACTGAACAAACCTGCCAGCCACAGCTAACATTTAGCCTTGTTAGTGTTTGTCTAGTAGGTGCTGTTAAATGATGCTGGCCTCCACACTTAAATGGGTTAGATGTCGTGGTGTGTGGTCTTTAACACCATGCAAGTGCCAGACATACTGACAAAGTAAGAGCTTACTGCTTTCAGCACACACAGCAGCAGCAGAAGCAGCAGCAGCCAACAAATTAAAAAGACTGCAGCAGACTCCTCCGTGGCATCTGCCTAGCCGTCTGTCAGCTCTGAAAGGTGCAGCGGGTAGAAGCAGGATAAGTTACAGTCAGAAGTTAATCTTCTGGCTTTAAGCTCCCCTGTCTGCCTCCGTGACTTAGCTCCGCTGCCAAACAAACACAGACAGAGAGCGGTCACATTAAATACGAGGAGAGCAAATGAAGCGGAGTTGGCAGCGTTTGACCTTTTCACCCTTGACCTCTCTGTAACAACCTGCCAAACAGGTTGCTGTCCTTGAAGCCACTGAAGCCCCCATGTTAACAAGCATCAAGTGTATTTGAGTAAGGTGCTCGAGGGATGTTGTTATGTAGCTGACCCTGACCTCTGACTTTGCTGGATTTCTGTGAAGGGATCAATAAAGTATCAGGTTATGAGAGCCTTTGAAAATGTTATTTAGGAGGATATTTAACTCTTTAAAAGCATTGCATACGAAGGGATAAATACACAGCAAGGGGATTTTACAGTTAACTGAACCAAAGGTGACAGACTATGAGTAGAAAATCATTCAAGCACCAACCTCTGCTCTATCTTATTTACCCTCACAAATACTCTACACTATAAAAGGGCTGCATATACTCAAGTGTTAATAGTGTGTTATAAATTTTGAGAACCAAAACCTGAACATTAGCTAAGTGTCCGTCCAGAGGAAACATTCAGGGTGTAACCCATGACAGGAAATGCTAAATTTCTCCATCAGTTACGTTACACATGAAGAGACAGCAATGTCAGCTGGCTGGGGTGTTTACACTAGCTGACCGGACAGATGTTTAGCTATTCACACATGTTCGATGTGTAACATGTATATTAAAATAAGAAGCTGAAATAAGTAACAATGTCCCGAGCTGGGATTTTCATCTGGACCACCACTGAGTAAACAACTTTGTCCAAAACAGACCGTTGGGCTAGCAGGCTAAGCTAGCTAGTTTTCGCCCGTTGGTCAGCCCTGCCCTTCTCGCATAAACAAACTACAAGCCGGCTAATAAACTGTCAAACAAGCTTGGTTTGCGCATATGAACATCCTCTTATTAAACTAATCCACGGTATCCACAGAGCTACCGTTAACAAGCTAAGCTGTACAACTTTCCGTGTTATTATCATGTTGCTAGTCGCGCAGCTAGCTTAGCGTCCTGGCTCACTCACGAGCCCGGGCACCGGACAGAGCCGAGGTGCACGAACACCGCCGACACAGCCGAATCTCAGCTCCTTACCATCGTACAAATCGAGGCGATCTTTCGGACTGTCATCAGTATTTCCATCCGTAAGCCGCCATGGTGGACCGAACCCCGATGTTGAAATTGTGAGAGCCGATGCGGCTGCAGAGTTCCGGGAGAGCCTTCTGCCCCTGTTCTTTACTGCTGTCAAGTAAAACAGGATGGCACGAAGGACTTCCGGTCTTGTTCTTCAAAATAAATAATAATAATAACATTATAATAATAATTATTATTATTATTATCATTATTACTATTATTATTATTGTTGTTATTATTATTATATAGTAATGACATGGTTATTATTATTATTAGCTAAAATGAATGGAGTCTAATACAAGCTCTGCAATACTACCTTAATGAAGGTTAACCACCAGTTCCAGCAGTTAGCAAAGATGTTCACTGTAATATAAAACCATGGATACTTGCAAATATTCACATTTCAAAAGCCACTACCAGTAAATTTCTGGAATGTTTGCTTAAAATATGACTCAAACAATTAATCACTCAATCAAAATTCAGTCAACTAATTGATTAGTCAACTATAAATCATTTCAGCTCCAGATATTAAATGGTTGTTATCAAGGTGCTGGTGGAAATAATGAAACTGCCATGTATGGTGGGATAGCAGAAGTCCAACAACAAATCCTTGCCCCAGGCACCTTAGAAGGTTATGAAGGGGGATACAAATATTTTTGTTTCATGATGAGGTTTAATTTTGTGTGTAGTTTGGTATGTTTGCAATGCTAATACAAACCGTCAACTTTTAGTCAGTAAAACCTTGAGTTTAGATGTTTTGTCAGAGCAAATATTTGCAGCAATGTAGCCCTAGTTTGTGTACTTTATGTGGTCAGCTTTCATATTTATGTATACAGCCTCAATAATATTCTGACACGTAAGTATCAACAGTATTACTGTTAACACAATGAAATTAGAGTCTTTTGTTAATTTATATTGTAATTATTGTCTTGTAGGCTACATCAGTAACAAAGACCTACTCAAAGAATAAGTCAAAACTATTAAATTATCACTCTCCAAAATGTTTTAAATTGATATGTTTTACTTTGAAGGTGAAATAATTTGGCTTCCGATATCACTCGAGATATTTCGGTCTGACTTTCCGAAGCTTCCTGTCGTCCAGCCTGGAAGCCTTGGGGAGAGTTAGTTAGTTAGATTCTTAACACGGGGATGGAATAGGCGGGCGGTGCTTTGTGTCGCTGACCGTATGAGACCTCTTCCGCTGTGTGAGTCGTTTCCAGTTTTACACAATAAACGAAAACGAGTGATCCATGAAATTCTGTCAGTGCTGGTTTGGTAAGAGAGGAGTTCACTAGTCAAAAAGAGGCTCAAGATTCGAAAAACAAACACCACCAGGATGAGTTACCAAGAGTAAAAAGAGCACATTGGCCACACACAAGTGATCAGGTCATTTGACAGTCTTCAGATAATCAGCCAGTTGCACAGCTGATGTGTCATTTATCTTTCTTAGTTTTTTTTTCTTTATCCAAGACACTCAATGTACATTGTGTGCGATGTTTATGGAAGCCAGTTTCCACTGCATAAAGAAAATGATGAAAATTACGAAAGCTGTTTTTTTTTTTTTTTTTTTTTTAAATCACAATTTGGATGTCAAATTCAAGATGTTAATGGTTTAATCATCAAAAAATTGAAAAATTCGGGCTATTATGAGGTCATAATTGTGAGATTTATAAGTTCAAATTTTGAGATACAATATTATCTCATAATTTTTAGTTTTTGATGAAAAGTTATGAGCAAGTAGCTTAGGCAAAGCTTAAAATGAACTTCATTCATCTCAATTTTTTTTACTTAAAAACTTATAATTCTAAAACTCCATAAGATTATCCTCCTAAAGCTCATAATTGTGACTTAAAAAATCAAGTCACCATTTTATAATCTTTATTCGAAGAGCGATAATTTGATTTTAAAAGTCACAATTATGACTTTCCATGACTAATTTTATTTTAACTTTATCAGTTTTTGGTATTCATGGGCTTCCATACCTTTGACACCGATTCTTTTTGTCCTTTCTTTCTCTGCTGTGCGGAATTTGTAATTGTAGAACAAAGCTTTGGAGAGCTTTTTTGGCACATAAAGCCACTTATTGGTCTATAATGACTAATTTGTTTTGTAGATTTATTATTTTAAACCTTAATACCCTTGTTGGACCAGAGAAGGTTAAGGATGCCTAAGTCCAGGCTGGAAAGAGGATCCCAATTTAGGCTGGTCTCATATTCGAGGGGATGGTTCAAAGTGTGCATCCCTCCCTCTCTCTCTCTGTTTGCGCTCTGTCCGCAGTCAGAGGCATCTGGAATCAGTGCGGACCAGAATACCTCTCCCTTTTCATTATTAATACGATACAAACAGAGCAGTCAGTGATACAGCTGCTCACTGCTGAAAGATCCACGGAGAGGTTCAACTTTTTCTCCCAGCACCAAGTGGAAGAAAACTCTGCACTGGAACTGGGATCCTTGGTAGTATTGGCTCTCAAAGGGAAAAACTACTCTCTTTTTTTCTACAGTGATTTTATAATGAAATTTCAGCAGCTATAGTCAAGATTAAATAACCGGATACCTCAGGAGATCCAGAATAACAGGTTATCCTCACCGTCCGTGCAGGAACATTATGGAAATATTGGAGTGATTTCTGTTCCTCGGGGCGGAGGGGGGTTCGCTGCTGCTGCTGCTGCTGCTGCTGCTGCTGCTGCTGCGGGGCAGTGTTATTTTCCCACACGGACCAGGGCTGATCCGAGGGCAGAGGGGAGCTAAATGCGGCTGACTGGCGACCCTGCACCGGGAACCATGAACAGCAGCGGGTCTGGCAACTTTCTGCTGGTCCCCATACCGGAGTATCCCCTGCTGGACTGTGTGCCCAACAAGACGGTGAAGATCGTGGTGCTGGGGGCGAGCAACGTCGGGAAAACCGGTATGAACGGAAGGATTTACTCTTTAATTGTGCTGCTAATATTTAAATGAATGGAGGAAGTTTTTTTTTCACAGCAGCTGAAACTGATGTGTTGCGTTGTGAAGATTAAAGTGGAAAATTGGTGGCTGGGATTTCAAGCATCTCAACGTGATAATTACAGATTAAACTACTTATCATGCAACTTGTTATTGTGAGGAATATCTTAGTGATTTATTTGCATAATAGAGGTAGAAATATAGTCATAAAACAGTCAAATTGATGGGGAAACGTCATCCATCCTGGACGGCAGGGGGCGACAATTTGCATTTTACATATTGTCATTCTAAAATATATGAAAACTTAAATGTTTTATGTATAATATTGTTGGATTTTGATTATTGATGCATTTATGTGCTGCATTTTGTCTTATATTTGCAACTTTTAGGTTGTTTAATCCATAACAATCATCATGCTTTATAAGATAATCATAGTTTTTTTGTGTAAAATCTTAATTTGAAAAGAGACTACTAGCTATAGCTGTCAAATTAAATGTATAGGAGTAAAAAGAACAATATTTCCCTGTGAAATACAATACAATACTCAGAAGTGGACTTCCATAGAGTAAAGGTAGCCTTTCACCACTAAATATAACCAACAGAAAGATCCCATTGACATGAGGCTCTTATTTTGGAAAGGGGGAAAGTAGTCACCATGCAAAAATAATAAAAACTTTAAGGTAACAGACAAAGAAAGAGGCAAAAATAAATGATAAGTAAAACCTAAAATGAAAATGATCACATATCCAATATGGTAAAAATGGTAAAAATGGTAAAAAAAAAAAGAAATTCAGTTTTCATTTAACAAATATGACATGAGGGTTTTCAGAATAAACTGATGTTCACTTGCGTATATGGAGAAAAAAAAAAAGCAAAAAGAAGAAAGAAGTCCAGGGCAGAAAGTATAATAGAGGCTGCCACAATGTTTTTGGAAGATAGACTAAACACATCAGTGAGTGTGTGGCTCACTACAAATGGCTGCAATTTGTCACACTTGTGGTAAGTGAGGGATTAACCAATTTATGATCAAGATCAACCTCAGGGAGTTATTAAAGTGTATGAATCATCAACAGCCCAACACTGTAGTTGTATGTGATTTTATAAGTGAAGTTACAACTGTAAAGGTATGACAAACCGGAGGCGGGGAATTAAAAACAGGGAGGGTCTAATGAAAGCGGGTATGTTATCAAGTTGCATTATGGTAGTTGTAGGTTTCTGGGTTATTGGAGCTCTGATTTTAACCAATCTGATTTTTCAAACCGTCTCTTGTGAGTCCCCAAAAACTTTATGAAAGTGCAACAATGAATTCGTGGAGTGGCCCTTTAATGTGTAAACTCAGCAGTGGTCTCCTTTAATACTCCGATGGGAACATGGCAGGAAGAAAAAGCCACCGCTTTGATTAAACTAATGGGGGAAACTGGGCCGACAAAAGCCTTCCAGAACCCAAATAACAAAGTGATAGATTAGGTAATCATTTACCAGTATGAGATGACGCATGACGAATTGCAACATCAGATTCTCAGTATTGGTGGATCATTTTCTTAGTTCAGACTTTTGGCCTGTTTGTTTAGCTCATCTCTCTGCTATGAAACTCTTCAAAATCAAAAAGTTGCTCGTCAGGGAAAAGGGAAATTCCACTCACACTCGCTAGGAGCAAATATTGAAGTGTTACACAGGTCGGATTTTTCATCATACACGCTGCAGTATGACTCTGAAAACTGCTGTGCACCATCTCTTTTCTCCAAACAGTTCCCAAGATGACAGTGATTATTTAGAGAAATGTGATCCTCCAGTTTGGTATTTCCTCCCACTTTGTTGTGACACACTTTAACTCCATTTTCTGCATCTGATTCAGAGTTTTCTTCTTTCCTTTCAGCTCTGATTGTCAGGTTTCTGACCAAGAGGTTCATCGGGGATTATGAAGCAAACACCGGTGAGTTTCCGTCTCTTAAAAGAAAAGTAAGCGGCAAAAATAAATGCATTTACAGACTCACTACCCTCTGCTTTAGAGAAACCCCTACTATTGACCCATTCATCCATTCACTCATTCACCCGTCCACCTGTCTCTTTCGTTCTCCCCAGGAGCGCTCTACTCCCGAAAGGTCACGCTGGATGGGGAGGAAGTGTCGCTTCAGATCCAGGATACTCCCTGCGTCGCTCTCCAGGTAACTGGTGGAAACACAGAGGCAGCAGCCATGTTTCCATCCCAGAGTCTCCATGTGCAGCACAAACAGAAAGGAAGCAGTGATTTAAAAACGCTGTTATCTATAATATTTATTTACACAAAGTGACATGAACGTACGACTGAAAACAGCTGAGACCCTCCTGACACAGTGTCTGAAGCCAGGTTTTACTGTCAACACTCACTTTCTAAACATTCATTTTGTTCCCAGTCTGTTGTTGCTGTTTAACCACGGCACAAGGAAGTGATCACAGAGCTAGAGGAGCTTGATAGTTTAGGGGTCATGGTGTTAACTAAGGCCCCAAACAAGCCTAGCTAGGTACTTAAATTCTTCTTAATCCTTTCAAATAGTATTCAATCTCCAATCCAGACTGATTGCTATGGGAAACAGTTAGCAATAATGAGAACAAGCAAGACCACCTCAGGCATTTAGGTTTCTTTAATGATCCTTAAAACTACTCTTTTTTTTGCTCAGTTTGTTTTCACCCTCTGACTGTGCAAGAGCGGTTGGAAAAGGTTTGCTCTAGAGTCTAAAGAGTTGGCTTTTTAGCAATTAAAAACCTTGCTAGCTGGATAGCATGCTGGCGCTAATGTGCACGCCAAAAAGTTAATTTACTCGTGCAGCAAGAGTGTCAGTTTTTCTATCGAGTTTTATCTGCCATGCTAAAATAAAAGTTGGACTTTTTAGAAGCAGATGCAAATAATTACTTTAGCCAATTAGCTCCATTAGCTCCCAATTATTGAGGACTGATTTACAGCCAATTTCAGTACAATGGCATTAACAGGAAGTGGGCAGCCTCTCCGTAGCTGGGCTCTGCCTCACCTGTCTTACCCGCTTTTACTGGCTCCCCTGTAGGTGGCGCTGTTGCACACAACAGTCCAAACCAAATGGCGCCTTTAAATTTTGTAACGGCTGTCCACTTTCCCATTGCCAGTACTACACAGGTGGTCTTGTCAGACTTTTTAAGGTTTAGTTTGTATTTTATTGCGATAGTTGAGTAAAAAAGATAAATGCACCAATTTCCAGTGGTGCGTTGCTCTGTTCCTGGTCCGGTTTGGACTGTGTGCTTTCCCTCCACCTGTGCCCACCTCTTCCTGTCAACATGCCCTACAAATACAACTCTATGCATCTAATGAGCGCCCCTAATTGTCCAAAAATAACACTAAAAACAAACCTACAGATGTTTTTTCCCATTTAAATGTACTATTTATCCATTTTCAGGGCAATTGCTTGACTCTGTATTAAAAACATTTACGTTTTACATTTACATTGGGCTTTAAAATTTTTAAATTTGCATCTTTAATTGATAAAACGAGCGAAGTAGTTAAAAAAAAAAGGGGAGGGATCTGCGTTACGTCACTGCTGCTTCATATCTAAAAGTTGAAACAAAGCCCTCAGAGGCAGTCGAAAAAAACTTACATTTTTATCTCAAAGCAATTTCAGGAATGTATTTGAAGTAAGAGGAAGTGACCTTAGGACCATCTCCTCGCTCATGATGAGTATAATGAGTGCAACGTGCCACACGGCTCACCCCGCTTGACACCGGCAGTCTGTTTACCAAACCAGGCCTCGGAGCTGCTCATTTCCTACGCTGGGGAAGATAACGCAGGGTGAGGAAGTCGCTCCTGGCAGGATGGAGGATGATGGTGACCGGCTTCCAGAGATTAGAGGGAAATAATTGGTGTGCGGAGGCAGGAGGAGTCGTGTGTGCAGAGCAGAGAGGTCGAGGAAGTTACTGAGCTTCTGGGAGGTTGTTAAAAGCTGCAGCTGGAGAGATTTTTTATTTTTTTTATTTTTTTCAAACTCATAAAATTGGGCTGCAAAAGACACGAGTGTCCACAATTACAGAGTTGCAGGTGTTTAGAAATGAAATTCTGGTGTCTGGCGTGGTCACAGAAAGAACATTTTAATCTTGATTACAGAAAATAATATGCTTCGCTTGGTAATTATGTGGACAGTGGAGTGTAAGGAACTGCCCTACTTGAAGTTTAATTGTTCCTGAAATGACGACTGGGTGGTCCAGCGGGTCAGCGGTCTGTTACTTTGTGCAAATCAGCAATTTGACGACTTCACATCGGACAAATTGCATTGAACATTTAGGCGCTAAACTCATTTATCAATCTTCGAATCAGTCAACAGAGAATGAAAATAATCATCGGCTGCAGCAGTAACTCGTGATGACTATGATATTTACTCTTACAGGATGATGCTGAGGGCCTGTACTGCCAGGAGCAGATCAACAGGTCAGACTCATGAAACGACTTGAACATGAGTGTGAATTAAACCCGACGCGTTCAAATAATAACTGTATCATAACTGGACTTCCAGGTCGATCTACTGGGCGGACGGTTACGTGCTGGTTTTCTCCATCACTGACCACAACAGCTACCGAACCATCCAGCCGCTCTACCAACACGTCAGACGCATACACCCCTCTGGAAACATTCCTGTTATACTGGTCAGTCTCAGTTTGGGAAGAAGCGGTTTAATTTTGTTTACAATCAGTTTATTTGGATTAGCTCGTCTTTATCTGGACAAATTGCATCAGCCTTTATCAGTGTCCAAGTCTGTCTCTCTTCTGTCTGGAACAGACGATAACAGTTACCTACTAACCCTAATCCCTGTAATGTAATCTACTCTATAATCTGTAATCTCATGCAGGTTGGCAACAAGAGCGACCTGCTCCGCGCCCGACAAGTGCCTGCAGACGAAGGCGAGACGTTAGCGGCTTCGTTAGGTGGGGCGTCCTCCTCCTCCTCCTCTTTCTGTTTCTCCTTCCTCCTCTTCTGCTAATCATATGTCATGTGATTGCACAGTCATGAAAACACATTTCCTTAATTGAAAAGTGAGTGTGAACATTAGAGTTTACACACTAAAACCTTATGAATTTGCCTTTTACATCAGGTTGAAACTTTAGGTTTTGAGTTAAATGTCTCAAAAGCTGCTGTTATAGACAATCGTGGTTCCCAGAAGATGAACCCTAATGACTTCGTTTGTTCCCTGACTTGTCCTCTATCACCACCAGCAAATTTTGTCACTTCTTCAATTAAATATATTTCAACATCTATTTGGATGAATTGGCACAAAATTTCATACAGACATTAATGGTTCCCAGAGGATGTATCCTAATAAATGGATGTTGATCCACTTTCCTCTTCTAGCACCACCAGGAAGTTGACATTTTGTGGTTCGGTTGTCGGTCCTGTTCCAACATCAGTCACCGATTAAATCAGATACATGTTTTGTCGTTTTAAAGAAAGCTGATCAGAGAACTGCAGTTTACACATTTCTCTGCCTGTGTGTCTCACCTACATCCTGCATGCCGTCTAATGAACGAGGAATGCTGAGACTTATCTGGGAGATAAGTCCTGATCTTTAAAAAAAAAACTGCCTCTGCTCACAGGGGGAGTTTACTTTGAGGCCTCGGCCAGAGAGAACCACGAAGGAGTCCACGCTGCCTTCCTACATCTCTGTCAGGAGGTGGGACTTTTTTGTTGTTGTTCATTGGTTCATTGGTCTGTAGAAATCTTATAGAAAGATATCATGATGTTGTGCATTATCAGTCCGCCAAACTTAAGGGACTTTAACTTCCTGTGGGATCTCTGATGACAGGACATTTCCCACTGATGCCCCGAGTCACCAGCTAATTCAGAAATCCCACATGTTTATCTCTAAAGCTAGAAAGAGCTTTACCAGCCCACAATAGGCCGTTCTGTATATTTGTTTTTCTGTTGAGGTAATGGGACATTTTGCCCAGAGGCCCATGATATTTGAGTGTGTTTAAACTGTGTTTCCTTTCTGGTATTTTTAAAGAGCAGCTTCCTGATCTCTTGTTCTGTTTAACGTCTGCATGTTTTTAACTAATGAGGTGCTTTAAAGGTGCGTTAATTTTTATTAGCTCAGCTTTTGTTGATTTATATTAACGACAGATACAGTGATTGTGTGTGATGTGAAATGTATCGCTCGTAGCGACAAACGTGGAGCATTTGAGCATCTTTTAGCTCATTGTTTTGGTTTTCTGGGCCAATACTCAGCTGCTATTAGCAGTTAGCACAGTGGAGCATTTAGAAGCTAAACTGCCAGATATTTTCCTCAGGAGACAATAACAACTTTTATTTTGTTCAAAATAAATAACTTAATGCAACTTTAAATTTCTTTAGTTCTTTAGCATTAAAAGAATTGTCTTAACACTTGTTGCAAGCTTTTATTTTCCTCAACTGGATACTAAATTAAAACATAAATTACACATATTGTATCTGTATCTGTTCTTCTTGTAAACAAGCAGTAATGTCAACACAAGTTTGTTTACATTGGATTGTTGGAGTATTTCAGAAACCAAGTTGGTACAGATTATTATTTTTACTAAAATGATTGATTTAACCTGGTTTTGAAATTTGACTTTAAACTAATTTAAATGAGAAACTGACTTAAGCAAAGTTAACTTAGTCACATTTTTATTTTTTTTATTTTGGCGCGTCACTGTGCTCTCTCTCCTGCAGGTGATCCGAGCACTGGGAGGAGGTAACGGGGAGAAAAGGAGAGGAGGCCTCCACCTGGCCAGACCCAAATCTCCCAACATGCAGGAGCTGAAGAGGAGGTTCAGGCAGGTCCTCTCCTCCAAGGTCAAGTCATCCACGACTCTCTGATCACAGGACGGATCAGGCAGGCGCAGGGCAAGGATAAAGAGCTTCCTTGGAAAAATAAAAGTTGTGGATTTTTCTATCATGGAAGGAAGTAGTCATCCTCGGATGAATGGATGAAGATAAAGACCAAATGGAGCTTTCTGGCAGCTGAGCTCTTCTCTGTGTTTTGGACGAGAGTCAACACGATCAACGCGACCTCTTCCCAGGCTCGAGTACCGCTGAGGATGCTGCTCAAAGCGGACACGGTCAAAGACTGCTAAACAAACAGCATGTGTTGTGTCAGGAACTTGGCATGTTTACCATGATGGATATTGAATGTGTCCGCAAACATCATTGTGAACCTCTCAACATATTAGGAGCCCAATCCTTGAAACACTGACACCATTCATGTCTCAGTTTTCTTGAGGCTGGAAAATCACTCTCAGTGAATTTAATGCATTAAAATCAATAAAGAATTATTGATTTCACCCTGTCAGACAAAGAAAAAGCAGATGTCGCTTGTCATGTAATGTGGAGTCTCTTATTTCAGGCTCAACATTTCACTTTTTCATTTATGTTGGTTTTAATTTAGCTTTAGTCTTTTTAACTAGATGATGAGTTCATTCATTCATTCATTCACGAAATAAATGAAAGGCGAGTCTCTGGCCTCTCTGTTGCAGAGTTCTAATGAAGAAAGTAGTCGGAACCAAAACAGGAAATGACCCAAAGACGTAAGGGTTCAAGGCTTATACACCGAGACAAATGCTGACATTTGACAGCCGGAAATGAAGCCTGAGGGGCGGGAAGCCTATTGCTGCCGATAATAAAAAAATGCAATCAGACTGAAATTTTATTTTCTGTTGATTTGGCATCAGACTTGGATTTATTTTCCATTGCATGATCGATACTGCCAAAATAAATACTAAAGTTAAACTTAATTGACATATAATTTTCAGTGTTATCCAGAGACTGAATCTGAATTATAATGTTTAAGCTAATTTCTAATGAAAAATAAACATAATAGCAGTCTACTAAGCCTTTTTTTGTGAAATCTGTTAAAGGCAACCATTTTGAAAATTACCATAAAAAAGGGTAATTTCAAGTTTATTGTCATTAGAATTGAGCTAAAATAATTCATATTCAAATTACAGAGTACAGAGATGTCATACATCTTGGGCACACAAATGGAAAGTGACGTTCAAATTTGATTGCATCATTTCATTTTAATATTGGCAGCCACAGTCTTCCATACGTTTCAGCTGTTTCATGTGTTTCAGCTGATACAAACAGCAGAGTTTGTTAATTCTTTCCTAAAGTTACGGAAACAGTCATCAGGTTTGTTTCATCTTCACAGCTTCATCACCGAAATCTTTATAATCTGGCAGGATGAGAAGATGCCAAAACTCTATCCAATAAACAACATACTCGAGAATCCATGTGACTCTCATTCACAAGCCCCGGTTTGCTTGTGACCGTGACAAAGTAAGCTTTTCCACCATAGCTCAGCCCCGAGAGTCCAAACGGAGGGTGTTGATTGCCCCTTTTAATGGTTCGCAGTCTGGGGAATATTTCATTTCTATTGTTTTAAACAAAGATTTTATTGTTGTGTGTAGTTAGTGTTGCTCCACAGGCCTGTTCTTTCCCCGACAAGAAGAAATCTCTGGACGAGGTTCTGTGATGAGCTTCAGGAGAGTGGGTCCAAATCCAAAACTACTAATGAAGCCACTCACTTGGCGTGTGTGTGTGTGTGTGTGTGTGTGTGTTTTCTGCTGTTCTCATGACCTCTCTTCTCATTGACACACACACAACATTCCCAGTAAAGACAAATTCCTCAGCATCTGGAATTTCTTTCTTGGTCACTGAACCACCACTCTAACTCTTCTACACACACACACACACACACACTGCTGACCCCCTTCTCGTGACCTTATACCCTTTGACCTTTAAAAGCAGCAGGGCTCCATCAGAGTCTGGAAAAAAAAAAAAAAAAGATGAGATAAAGCCGGTCGTCTCGCTCACTGCGTTTCGAGACGAAAATCCTGTGATGGTATTTGATAAATGCCAAGACAAGAATAACGTGTGCATGAAAGTGTGTGTGTGAGTGTGAGTGTGTGAGTGTGTGTGTGTGCAAGAGAGACTGTGATAAGAAAAGTTCTCATCATTTTCAGCTACTTTAAGTCCAATTTCCTCGTTTTTTTTTTAGCCCCTAACTTAGCTTCCCACACACCCACCGACTACTCACACACACACACACACTCACACACACTATGTCGCTCTTAAAGACCTCTTTCCTGTCTGCCACTGAAACAAGTGCTCCTACATTCTCAAATGAGCGATGAATTCCTCCCTCTTTTTTTTTCCCCCTTGAAGCCAGCAATCGTGTAACATGCTCTAAATGTGAGTTTATTTGATAGATGAAAAGTTAATGTGACATTTATGAGGCTCGATTTAGAAAACCGAGCCTCCGCTAAATGTTCCCTTTTTCGGTAAGGACTAAAGGAAGCTGAAGTTAACTTCTGGGTTCTGCTTTAGAAAACATAAAAATCAAAAATAACATTGACATTGTTACTAAATACTCATTTCTACAACAGAATCTTGCCCAACAGTACGTCATGCACTTCACTCCATTCGTCTGGACAGGGAGGTTTTTCAGAGGATCACTGCGAGGAAAGCCAAAAACATCAAATGTTGAGTGAGCACAGCTCTGCACACTTAGGTCCATGCAGCTAATTAAAACACAGAGTTTATTATGACATTAGATAAAACGCACCTGTGCTAATTCACGCGAGTACGAGTAGAGAGCGACTTAACTATCATTTCTCTTGATCATCTTAGAGATGTTTCTACGCCTTGATTGGATTGGAACCCCACCAGCGGTAAATTCACATGATGTGGAAAGGCACACACCTGTCCATGCAAGAGCTGTGTCCCAATTCAGGGGCCGCATCTTTCGGAGGCTCCATTTTAAGACCGATTACATCACAGCGGTGCGACTACGCTGTCCAAATTTCAAAGGCTCCTCCAACAGGTGGACCCCTTCGTGGCCCGACCTGTCCCAAGATTCATCGAGCGATTCATCCCCCGAAGACCAGACCGTCACATTTCGGTGTAAGATGTCTACGAAAGGCCACGCATTCGTGGATCGCGTCTCCGGAAAGGACGCGGCCCCAGAATTGTGACACAGCTTTATTGTACCACAACTGTCAATCCATATCAGAGCAAAAAAACCCGAGCGGTGAGGTGGAAGGAAACAGGTCTGCAGTGCTCAGACACAGAGACAGGCTGCTAAAAAGAGCTTCACTGAAGGTTCACAAGAGCACAGGGCTGTTGGTGTAAACGTGTGATCACTTTACCTGCGAAACAATAAGTTTTGCCTTTAAACTTTGGTTAAAATGTCCCATAATTAGTTTAAAATTTTGAGGATCTAAATAATCAAGAACATGTACTGCGTTTGAGACAACATATCACAAGACCTTCGTTATGTTACTATGTACGGAGGATGAGAGCGGACTTTCGTGACCAGACGGATCTGAGAAAAATAACTGCGAAACTAAATGTATCGTGGAAACTGCTGGGATTTGATCGTGTGTGTGTGTGTGTGTGTGTGTGTGTGTGTGTGTGTGCCATTTGAAAGTACTTCAATGTAAGTTTGAGTTGGCACTGTACTGGAGAGAGTATTTAGGGCAGAGTTACAATTGTTTCCACATTACTGAAGTCTATGGAAACACACACACACACACACACCCTGTCAGTGAACCAGTGGCATATGGAAGTCATTCATCTTTCCAGGTACGATAAAGCACATTGGAGCTTCCTTTGAGTCCCCCACTGTATGTCACCACTCCTGTCCAGTATGTCCCGCTGCCTTTACTCCCTCTGCTCCCCACAGTGTTGTTTTAAATGGCCTTCGGTGGCATTTAGTGTCGCGTTTAAAGCGTTTTAGCGACAGCTGTTGGCACGTTGCTTCGTCAGAGAGGAAATGCTTGAAGCGGAGACAATGACGCATTCATCACTGTCTGTTCTTGTCGTTGCAATGTTGTTTGGCATAATCTTTTGCATCCCAAATAATAAATCTGTCCAATATTGATGAATACAAACAAACAAGAAATGGTAAAAATTCCCCATCATGCCCTTTGATGTGCCAACTCCTCTGACTTGTTTAGTCTGAGTCTGTGACTCTGGACATAAACAGACAACTTTCTTTGATCTCGTTGGCACAATGAAGACACTGGTTGAATGTCCCAGACTTTAATTTAATGACGGCTGCTTAAGGCTAAAATCCAGAACATGTTTTTCGTTTACAACATATCAATTTATGTCATCTGCACAGCACATTTAAGGAACTGCAGTTTTTGGCACTTTAATGTTTGCTTCCTTTGTCATTGCAGGAGGTGCCACCCTGGTTCTACCACATGATCAGATCTGGTTATTAAAACCTTCCCTCTGTGGCACGGTGTAATGTCATTCTGGAAGAAGCCGCGAGATGGTAAATGCACATAGTCCACAACACTCGCGAAGGCTGTGGCACTCAAGCCATGATTGATTGGTATTAGGGCGGCCCAGACGTGTGATTGTTGAAACATGGTTGTTACTAACATGCTAAAGATGCAGTAGAAAGGAAACGAGTGGAAAGAGTGAAAACAGCGAAAGAGAGACCTGTCCAGACTAAGGTTAATGATGTCATGGTCAGCTTATCAGCAGCTAACCTCCCCAAGCACCCAAACACAAGTATGTGGGTGTTCTTGTTCTGGTCTCCACTATGGGAAAGCACTCCATCAGCAACAGCAGTGTGGAGGATATAAACCAGCTGTGTGTGCATGCATGTGTGTGTGTGTGTGTGTGTGTGTTAATGCCCTGTTCTGTTATCTGTCTGTGGAGGCGGCAGGAAGTTAAGGTCCCGTCTGGGAAGAAGTCAAGACCCTAAACTCAGAAAGACAGCAAGACGCAAAGGAAGGAGTGAAATGTTCCAGGAGAGTCTTAAGAAAAGAGAAGGAAAAAAATAACCATTGAGGAGACTAAGATAGCTGACAGAAAACAGCGAAGAGGAGGAAAGAGACAAGATAGGAGGTGTTGAAGGGAGACTAATCCAGACAGATAAAAATGAGACAGAAAAACACAGAAATGGGAACATTATCAGCTCATTTGTCCGAACACGGAACGAACGAAGGTGTCATCTTTCAGCACAAGACAAACACACGGTTATTATTATGTTCTGAGTGACAGCTAAATGTCGCCACGAAAGGCCGCCGCTGCTTTTTGATGATAAAAATCAAGACCGTCGTTGCTCACATGCAAATCAACCAGTTTTTAAAAAATTACAATATCCCAAGAAGATGGAACGAAGAAACATTGACTTGTAGGTTGAGACGTGGACTCGACTTCCTTCAAGCTTAGCCGTCTAAAAACTCAGCTTGAGGCTTGAAGACGGAAATATTTAAGATCACAATCATTGATCTGTGAGTAAGGCATTACAAGACAACAATCTTGACACAAGGTCCACATAATTGTTGTGTGTCTGGAGCTTTTGACCAATACACAAGGTCTTCTTTTAGGCTTACGTGGAAGAGAAGTCTTAAAAGTGACCAGAATCAAAGAAAATTTTTATCATCTTTGAAAGCTAACTTC